GTTTAAAGCCTCCTTGACCAGTCTGGCAAGCCTCCTACCAAAACTGCTCTTCCCCTTCTTTATCAGACCAGCTCCACCAGCCCCTAGACCTGGCCTACAAACCTGGGTCCTGTGTTCAAGACACCCAAACCCCTGACTATGACACCACCCTTTTAACCAGTTATTAACCTGACTAATCTTCCTAGCTTTTTTTAGGTCCTCTCCTGTATCCTGGAGAATTGATGAAAAGACTATCTCAGCTCCAGAGCCCCTAACCACCTCCCCCAGGGCTCTGTAGTCCTTCTTTATGTTCCCCAGGCTACTACTACCTATATCCCTAGCACCCACATGTATCACCAGGAGCGGGTAATAGTCCACAGGACTTACTAGAGCAGGCAGCCTCTCTGCCACATCCCTGATCCGTGCCCCCGGTAGGCAACACGCCTCCCTTGAGACAGGGTCTGGGTGGCAGACGAGTGCTTCTGTCCCTTTCAGTGTAGAGTCCCCTACTACTATGACCTGCCGCTTTTTCCTAGCAGCACCAGGAGAGATCTTCTTTGGCAGTGCATCAGACGGCTGTTTCTGGCTCGAGTGCGCTTCCTCATTAGCCCCCTGCAGGACAGCAAAGCGGTTCTGTGTGGGGACAGGGGATTTTGGGGGAAGCCCCTTGCTTTTGGTTGTCCTTTTCCTTCTTTTTTTTTGTTGTTTTTTTTTTTTTTTCACTAATTCCCAGCTTCCCAGGTTAACGGCCTCCTTCTTTCCTTCATGAGGCAGAGGTGAAGCTCGAGGCCCCTGCACAGTTTGGGCCAGGAGCAAGCATTCCCACTTCCTCTCAGCTTCCCTGACATCTTGCAGTCTATTAACAGCATCCCGCAGCTCAGCCCCTGCTGCAGGAGGACCTCCACCAGGGAGCACCGAGTGCAGCCCTGCCCATTGTGCACCCTCCCCTCACCAGACCAGTGCAGGCACTCTCTACACCTCGAGCTCTGCACTGCAGCCTCCCCTCTCACCGGCTCTGTCTGGGTGCCTACGCTGGCCACCGCCGCGGCAGCCAGAGCAGAGCTCCCGGACCGGGCCCTGCTCACACGCCGAGCGCTCACCATCCCGCTCGCCTGCCCGCACAAACTGCCTCGACCCGCTCTGTTCGCCGCGCTCCCTGGGGCAGGTTTTTACCCAGTCAGGGCTGGCGCTGCTGCTTCAGGCTCCGCCCCGTGTGAGTCAGCTGCTCGCTCGCGTCAGCTGAGCTGCCGGCTCCTGGGCAGGTCCTGTCGAGGACTTGAGGCTCCCTCGGTGGCTCTTGTTGCTCCGAGTTGAGGCTCCTGGACGCTGATCTCCCCCCCGCTCCGGTGTTGAAGGCGTCCTCTCTCAAGCTACTCACCTCAGCAATTGGTTAAAGCAACCCTAGTTTTATTATGCAGAGACTTCTTCCTCATGTCTCAAAAAACTTTACTGCTCTATTGCAAGGATATTAAACACGATATGAGCAAAACCAGGTATGCGAATCAAGTATAAATACTAAATATGCTATTCTGGTGATTTATTAATCTTGAAATTTCATGAAGATATTCAGATCAATGACGCACGAAGATCGACATGGTGGCAAATTATAGTCAACCTGTAGAAACAAAACCTAGCATCTGGAGTGAGACTAATGAACTCCAGCAGTGAAATTTGCACATCTATTACCCAACAACTTCAGACATATTTCACATCATAGAATCATAGAATCGTTAGGGTTGGAAAGGACCTTAAGATTCAGTACATGACAAAGAATGTACTGTAAGCCTATGAAATTTGGTGCCATACTCCTTTGTTCTAATTAATTTAACATCCTCAACATCGGAAGAGCTCTCTGCATTATTTTTATTTAATAAAGGAAGTCCTTAAGAAAACCAGCTTCTTTATATAAAATCAGTAATAAAAAATTCACGTGAAGTAAAATATGCTGTGTAACAATTGTAACATGTCCTTAAAAATGTCAGAATAGTCATTTCACTGTTACTTCAACAGTAGAGGGTACATAACAGACAGACATGTGAATCAATGTAGCTTCCTAAAGGGGAGATTATATATTTATAGAGCTTGTCATTAAATAAATGTGTATAATCCATTATTTTCATAATGCTTTATCTCTAATTAAAATCTAAACAGATGTTTTCATTACCTCACTCATTAACCATTGCTTCTGTTTGAGTCCAATATCTAAATGCTGTGTTTCATCCAAAATCTCTTCTAAGGTTAATGGATGTGTGTCACCACGCTGGTGCCTAGTCTGGAAAAGTAAACAGGATCTATTAGAGCTCTATAATTATTTTATTCAGTGACTCAGTTAGCATAAAGTAACTAAAACTGGTATTCTGTGATGACAAAACAACTGCTGCAAAACCAGACTAGATACAGTACACACAGCATATGAGTTTCAGTTTAGGGGTTTTGAGAATATGAGATAAAAAAAAATTAGTACCAGCTGAGAGTGATGACAAAGTCATCTGTCAAGCACCAAGTTACATGTTGTTTTGATAAATAGCTCATTAATACTAGAAGCTGACAGAATGCTGCAGTTCCTATTTCTGCTGCAAATAACATACCCTGTCTTGGTTTTTAAGTGACCTGGAATAATGAGGATTTCAGTAACAGAACAATATGCTGACCATTCTGTTTACTGACAGCACTTTGAATTTAACAAGCAGCTTCTTGATATAAAAGAATTTTGGAGCTGAAATATACAGCATCTTTCAGCTACCACAGAAGAATAAAGAAGTATTTAAAACCATTATAATTTTACAGCAAAAGTCTGTACCTTCATGTAATTCACTATTTTAGCAAGAACTCCAAACTTGTAGCCAGAGCCTCCTGAAAGGGCCTTGAAGTTGAATGATCCATTGCTGTGATCTACAAAAGGAGAAAACAAATCATTAAATTATACTTCCTGCAACACCCTGTTGGCTCTGCCTTCCACCTCTTTCTCAGTCTACTTCCACAAGCTTTCAGAATTACAATTATGAAAAGAAATGTGTGTTGCAGGAGCAGCCACCCTCAGAAGACTCTGCTAGCACATGTCTTGATCCAGACCCACAGAGGTACCTGTCGACACACATGGCTCTGGAACACTTCTCAGCAGAGCTGCATAAATATAAAGTTATTGGGACATGACCTTCAAGAAAACAGCAAGACAGCATTACCCCTGTAAGTGTACATGTTTAATTCTGTGGCTTAACAAACCATAATCATTTATGCTACATTAAGTCACGCTGAAATAACATGCTGCATTTTTGCCCAGCCATTAGCTCTACTGATAGCTTTGCGCTGTTGGGACAGGAGCAGAAAGTTTCACTTGTTCCATAAAAGTATTCAGCAGCTGGATGTGCTTGTGCTGGGCTTACACATTAATTTATTTACGCAGCTCTAGTAGCGAATTTATATGAAAAAATAAATTTAAAATTATACAACTTGGTGCATTGCACCACTGGGACAACAATTCAGAATCCCCTCTGACTCTGTCTTAATGTATTGTGAGGTTTGCTACCATGTAAAGTTTGTTTCAAAAATTCCTGCAGGGTTGTTAATGACTGTTGTATTACCATTAGCTATTAGCACAGCACATTAAACAGAAATATCCATAAACTGCTATCAAAAGCCACAGGCCCATTACCAGCATAATGGTATCAGCTTCTCAGAATTTCAGCTACTCGAGAAAAAGAACATTTTCTCTAAGTCACCACACAAATTTTTTAATCCACTGGTGACTTCTAATCACACTTGACAGGACAGTAGGTGTTCTCAGAGATACCGAGCTCTGGTTACTTCTGTGGAAGAATCAGTTGAGGGAGAAAAAAGAACAATTAAAGTCAGGGCAGTAATGGAGGGAGAGGTTCCAGCGGGTGCTGAGCAGAGCTGAGTCTTGTCTCTGCTGAATGTGGATTAGAGCTGTGACAAGAAGCAGTATAAGGTCTCAGAGGTTTGCATTGGTCAAGAAAAGAAACAATAAAAAATCATCATATTTTAGAAAACATACCTAAAATGTCTGACAGACCCATCACCTCCACCGAGTAAGCAGCAGGTTTGGAGAAAGTCTGCTACCTTCTCTGTGCTTAAACTTGGATTTTCTTGACAAGTTATTTCCATGAAACTCCCAATTTCCATGAAACTCCCAATTAATTTTCCAAAGTCACTATGCTTTGGATGAATTTTTTTCATGTTTTGTCCCACTGCATCTCAGCCTCCTTCCAAGCTGATCTGAAAGTCACTGCAAAAGGCAACTACAGAGTGGGAATGATGGACGTAATCACATTGCAAACAAATCCATTTTGGATAATTATTGGGAATACTTCATGGAAACTGGTGCTGGTATAATAAAAAACACTTCAGACACACTGAAGTAAAAATGCTGAAGGAATAAACATTAGATTAAAAACTCAGCGAGTAGTAATTGTGAAGCTTTTATATGACATCATATTAGAGGCTTTACATAGCACAATTCTAAAATTAACATAGAAGAATCACAGTAAGTCCACAACAGAAGAACATTTTATTGTGATAACTAAATTAAGATCGGAAAAGGGAGAAAAACAAAGCTGCTGAAAATACAGCCTACAGGGATCTTCTCCTGCAGGATTCTTCCCTTTTATCATTAAAAATTAACATCCACACAGGACATTTTATAAATAAAAAAAATATATATAATGAGAGGTCTAAAGTGCTGAAACACATTCAGAGGCACAACAAAGAGTTAAGATGACTTATCATGCATCTGTTCTGTCAATTGAATCCAGAAGATTACCTTGTTTAATCTGCCTGGCTACAGCCAGCTAAGGCTCCTGACAAGTAAATCTAACCCCAGGGCCAAGCTGGGAATCTGCGGATATTAACACTTCAAACATCAGGGTTTGATGGCTTCTCAAAAAGCACAGCCGGGCATGGCCACCGCCACCTCCCAGCGCCCTTACAAAGCTCATCGCACACAAAGAGCATCCCCCAGAATGAGAGCAGGAAGGGGTTTGTTTCTATTCGAGCCAGTAAGAGTCAAATTTATGAATGATTTACTCCTGGGGTTGAGGGCTGGATGTAAACGAGCAGAAAGGAAGTTGTCAGCAGCATCCTGCTCTGGCCAATGGTAGGAGAGCTCCATCTTAGCTGTGCCATAGGCTGCACTAAAAAAGGGGACCAGAACAGCGCTCTTCCAGCATCCTCTCAGACAAGAGGTAGGTGTGGATCATTTTATAACATTGCCTTAGGTTTACCTTGATTACTGAAAGAAAATATGCCTGTAAACTACAAGCCTGTAAAAAGCTTTTTAGAATCAGAATGTTTTTCTCTAGGTTTAGTAGGATTTTATTCCACCGAAGGCAGAGGAGCTTGCCTTGCACTATCAGACAAGCACTTTCACCATCTGTGCACTAATGGAAAATTGATGACCACTCACAGGAAAGCTCACACACCAAACCACGATTCAGTAGACAAAATGGATTTCGTGCTTACTGGAGAGGTAGCTTGCTGCCTGCAGTCTCACATTCCCTGTAGTTGATTCTGTATGTTTGTACTGAAATGACAGTGTAAGGATTTTCCTTAAAACAAAGACAGCTAAACCCGACATTTAAGAAGTGTATCTCCTAAGTGGGTATTCCATAAACTGTACAAATTAAGCTGCCTAAACCCCCTCTATGTTCATGGATACACTAGAAACCTATTCTAGAAATTTGGTGCATTAGGGTAGGATGAAATTCCCATTGAATATTATTATTCTTGTAAACACTGGAGCAGTGATCGATACAAGACAAGCAGGCAGGTGAGACTCCATCTGAGATTTGTTAAATGGTATTACCCCAAGATGTCTCTTCAGTAGTTTGTTAAACAAGACTTCCTCAGTACTGCATTGAAATGATTTTTTGCCAGTCATTTCCCTCTGCTCCACAAATATGATTTCAAATAAAGCTGCTGCTCTGCAGTGCCTAGAGACGATGATACCTTAAAATTAAAGCCTGATGTAGCTATTACAGAAACCAATTCATTAAATATTTAACTCGCTGCATTCTGAATACACACAATAGCTGAACTGTATTCAAATCAGACTGGCTTACAGTATGAATTTAAATTGTGCTACGGTAAAGTAAGTAAAACTGCATGAAAGCAGACCATTTTTGACAGCTTTCAAAGACGCTAACCTTGCTAGTGCCATGCTAATTTTGAAAGCTCGGCAACAGCTACTTCAGTCTTGTATTTTAATAGTTTACAGCAATGAGCAGCTGATATTTATCTGCATCGCCTTGCTCAAATCAAGATCATCAGCCTCGAGAAGCACAAACCGCCTCCAGCACGGGTATTAAATTCCACCTCCCTGTGTAAAGATGATATGCTCTATGCTGTGCAAACCACTGCCCTAATGGTGGCTGGGGAAGGGGCTGGCAGCCGAGCAACAGGGAGCCATGCCGTACTGAAGATGCTCCTTTCCTCTCAGGAACAGAGCTACCTCCTTGGTGGAGGAGCTGTGGTGGGCAAAGGGTCCTGGCTACCCAATGGGAACATGCGCAGTCTCTCCAGCAGCCCCAGATCTTCATTTCTTTTTGCAGTACTCAGTTTCTCAGCAGCAGAAACGGTTCATTTTTGTGCCTGGTGTTTACAGAGTGAGTCTTAAAAGTCTGGTGAAGCTCAAAACAAAACTCCTCTCCTTTCTTTCCTGAGGATATTCTCTTGCAATTTAAAGATGCATTTCAGTCCTCCTTGCTTTAACTACCCCTCAAAAGAGACTCTAAAATCCTTTTAATCAGCTCCTCCCCTCCTCCCCCCCAATTTTCAAACAAGCCTCCAGACTATCCCTTCAAGAACCCTTCTGACTTTTAGCGCCATAAAAGAGGCCAGCTGAGCTGCTTTCCTAGACTGTGACCAAACCAAACCACGCTGTCAAAGCCAGGGCCTGACTCAGCTCATGAGTATTTTTAGATTGGATTTGCTCTGTAAACTTTTGTTTAAGAACAAAAAAAACAAAGAGCAGTTTAATCAATCCCATCCATCTCAGTCATACTTTGTGTATTCGGTAACAGATTTGTGTATTCGGCTACAGATTTAACAGAGGAAAAAGTTATTGCAGTTGCTCTGATAAATGACCATATCAAATGCTACTGCCATGTATCTTCCCAACAAAGCTGTGTTTCAATAATAATCCATTACAGGCAGGAGGATAAAGATCAAAATGTAGAATCATAGAATGATTAGGGTTGGAAAGGACCTTAAGATCACCTAGCTCCAACCCCCCGCCATGGGCAGGGCCACCTCACAGTAGACCATGTCACCCAAGACTCCATCCACCCTGGCCTTGAACACTGCCAGGGATGGAGCATTCACAACTTCCTTGGCACGTATAACATTTCAACAACAACAACAAAACAAGACATAAATCACAAGCTGGTTTGGTGGCATCATGCTGGTTTTCACAATATCTTTATTTTTTTTCCTAATGACACAAAAATAACGAGACTGCTTTAAATAATCTGTTTTCATAGACACCATCACACTTTGCCTTTGTCACTTCCCATTTATTCAGGCATTTTGTAGTTTTCACTCTCTAAACAGGTTGACAGCAGAATTATTCCTGGTATGTACATGGTTAAAGTATTACCTGTGAGCACAGTTAAATGAACAAAACATCAGCACTACCCGTTTGTTCTGTAGTTTTGATTACTGAATGAAATCAAACTAAATATGGGTAGCCAAGACCATTTCATAATGAACACAGCTAGGTTTTCGCTTTTTGCTTGATGTTCAAAACAATCTTTCATTGAGGCAAGGAAAAAAGACTCCAGGTTTCTCCAAAGTTACCATCTTTTCTCTGTCTTCCCCTTCTGTAATTCCACATTTTCGGGGGTACCCCAGCAAACAAAAGCCCATTATGTGAGCTCCCCCTTAGCTGGCATGTGTTCACTGACAGGCTTTCATGAAGGGCACAGGCTGGCCCGTCACTGCTGCTCACCACTAAAAACTCCTTGCTACTTCCTCAAGGGAATACTGAAATCTGGCTCAATCTTCTCCCACACTCGGTTTTAAATTGCCTGAAGGATTCAAAGTGTTATTATAATGTCCTACAGTATACTATGACAGGTAACCAGATGTTACTGTGGCTCTTTCCTTGTTGTGGTTCAATAAGGCCAAGTGCAAGGCCCTGCATGTGGGTCAGGGCAATCCCAAGCGCAAATACAAGCTTGGTGGAGAATCAATTGAGCGCAGCACTGAGGAGAAGAACTTAGGGATACTGGTCAATGTACAGGAATACAGAGAAGCTCACCATGACCCAGCTTCAGTGTGGATTTCAGCACAGAAAACCCCTGTGTGCTGGGCTGCATCCCTGGAGCAGGTCAAGGGAGGGGATTCTTCCCCTCTACTGTGCTCTGCTGAGACCCCCCCCTGCAGCCTTGTGTCCAGCTCTGGGGCAGCAACACAAGAGGGACATGGAACCCTTGGAGCAAGTTCAGAGGAAGCCATGGAGATGATGCGAGGCCTGACGCAGCTCTGCTCTGAAGACAGGCTGAGAGAGCTGGGCTTGTTCAGCCTGGAGAAGTCTCCAGGGAAACTTTAAAGCAGCTTCCAGTATCTGAAGGGTGCCTGCAAGAAACCTGGAGAGTGGCTCTGGACAAGGGGGAATGGGTTTAACCTGATAAAGGGGAGATTGAGATGAGATCATAGGAAGAAGTTCTTCCTTGTCAGGGTGGTGAGGCCCTGACACAGGTTGCCCAGAGAAGCTGTGGCTGCCCCATTCCTGGTAGTATTCAAGGCCAGGTTGGACAGGGCTTGGAGCAACCTGCTCCAGGGGAAGGTGTCCCTGCCCACAGCAGGCGGTAGGAACTGGATGAGCTTTAAGGTCCCTTCCAACCCAAACCGTTCTATGACAATTCTATGGTTCCTTGGACAGCTGTTATTATATTAGACTATGTATGAGAAGTACCATAATTTTGCTCAGTTTTGGGAGGCAAAGACAGGGAAAGAAGGAAATCAGGGGAAAACGAGATGCGTAACTGTAAAGACATTATTGCCAAACACCTCATCTGCCTGTGAATTATCCATAATTCACAGAGAAATTCAGAGACAGATAAAACTGCTTTTTTGTTCTAGTTTTGTACTAGAGAAGTTACTGGGGCACAGCCTACTTTCACACTTTTCAGCAAAGGCCTTCCCCAAACAGCACATCTCCACAGCAATCCATTTGTGCCAAAGGCAGATTTGATAGAGCCAGCTTGTTTCACATCTCCCCCATGCCACAAAGCAGTCTTTTCTTCTGCTGGGTACAAACGGACAGTACTGGAGAAAGATGGCATTCCTTTCCTAGCAGTCAAGCAGAGAATGGCATTGAAAATAAATCAGAACTCCCTAGAAAGGGTTGGGTCTTCCTTGTTGTATATCCCACTGACCATGGCACCACAAACAGGACAGTATTTCTACATGTCCTCAGTGCCATTTGGGCAGCTGGGTTTCTCAAGCACAAACTACTCAACAGAGAAAGGGAATGAATGTGTCAGGAAATCTGGCCTTCTGAAATCAAGAGTTTTGCAGAGTTAACAAATCTGTGCTAACAGGCAATTTAAGAGAATGAGTTTTAAGGAACCAGGATTGTTAATCTGGTACTAGAACTACAAAAGTTAGTTCTATTCTTTGGAAACATCCTCCAAAATAGTTAATGTGTTGCATTTTTTTTTTAAAGAGCAATTTATTTCTTTCTCCCAAACAGAAGAAACCCCTCCCCAAACAAGCAAGCTCCAATGACATTAGCATCTATTAAGTTCTTCTCATTGCTCAGGTGTGGGAGAGTGGCACAGAGATCTCCTAACCCTCTAAGAATGACATGCAAGTACCAACTTCAAGCCTAACAATGGACAGGCCATTAAAACCACAGGATACCTTGAAAATAATCATGTAACCTTTTTAGTCTTTGCATGTACTTGAAATAAAGAAGCAAAGCTCTCTCATTCCAGAGTATTTAGATTACTTGATGCACACATGGATCAGACACCACTGAAATATATGTTGCAGACTAATCACAAAGTTGTACATTTGAAGTGTGATATTTTTGTGAACAAAGATGAGCATGCAACAAACCATGTCGGTAGGAGGTGCAAACACTTAGTCTGAGCGTAAGTTCCTACAGTTTGAGATAAAAATCACAGCATGCTGTTGACCAGTAGAGTCCTCAACAGCCTTGTTTTTTCTGTTGCAGCCCCTAAGTTGGTGATAGTGAGCACGCTCAGGCAACTCTTCAAGAATGGCAACCCTCAACACCACTCACTGGAATGAGACTACATCCATTTCCCAGTATCTGGACTTTCAAGTGCAAAAGATCTACCCTTTCCATGATAACTGGAACACTGCCTGCTTTATTATTCTGATCATATTCATCTTTACTGTAGTATCTCTGGTGGTGTTGGCTTTCCTCTATGAACTGCTAGACTGTTGCTGCTGCGTGAAAAATAAAACTGTGAAAGACTTGGAGAATGAACCCAATCCTGTTAGAGCAATGTTGAACAGGTTCAGAAAGCATGAAACAGAGGTCGTGTAGGAAGGACTGAGCATCAGCACTTGAATGCCTCACGAATTCACTTGAATGAAGCCTCATGATTGACATGACTGAGCAAGTCACATGCTTTTTTTTTTCCCCTTTTGGACTGAACAGCAACGGCTATAATTTTACGTCTGGATAGGAACTTGAATAATAGGCAAAGGCTTTCCAAGTCCTTAGCAGGAGGATGATCTTCTGCAATGTTATGGGGGAAGGAAAGATTTTTGTTTCCAAATGAACTTTTGTTGTTTATATGGAGTTACTAGCCTAGATCTTTGTCTACCCAAATGAACAAATGTTGCCTAACATGTATCAAACTATGTTGCTTAACTGGAGAAAACATTTATAAACATGCTCAACAATCTGACCACAGGTAGTGCAAAGAAGGACACAACAGTGTCCTTCCACTGAGGTCAACCATGCAGAGATGGAAAAGGAGAGGCTTGTGTGAATTCTTGCCTTCAACAGCCCTTCTTATTATGGGTTTCTTGCTTCTAGAAGAGAGGGTGGTGGGAGGAAAAGTAAGCCAACCTGAAACATATCCCCTAAAATGGTCTCTTCTAAAGCCCTGTGGTACAACTTGACGCCTTCTCCCTCTCTTCCTCCAGTTTCACGGAACTGCTCTCCCCTTACTTCCTGTTCAACCCGTTTAACAACTTCTGGGTATCAATACATAATTAACACACTACCTTAAGAACTTCTGGCTATTTCCACAAAAGCATACCACTATTGGTCTAGAAGAAACAGGGACATATTTCTGCCCCAAGGCTGCTGCCTCTATGGTAACCACAACACTAAAGGGAGTCAGACGTGCTGGACTTATCATCCCTAGCTTAACTTTTCAAAGCTGAACTGGAACAGACCAAGGAACACAAGCAGACAGGTCACAGACCTGCCACACCAATGACAGTAATTTCACCTCCACACAGCTTTTAGATATCAACATGCTTTGCAAAGGAGGCCACACCAGGATAAGCCTTGCTTTAGAGATGGCAGGATGGATACACAGCAGGAACAGACTTCATTTTGCTCAAGAGAATCTTAGCTTGCTTCAAAAGCCTGCCCAGGGCGTCCACACTCATGCCTTTCTCACAAACTGAGCACATAACACTCACAACTCCCGCTCATTAGATTATTTTTCTTCTGTAGATGCATCAATAGTTTTTAAACCATGAAAGTTTTATAGTTACAAATTATGACCACAACAACAGCATCCAAGAACATGGCCACCCGTAAGGCCTGGTAAGTCTTTCACGCTACTGAACCCACAGAGAAGCAGAAGCCAGTGAGAAATGTCCCAGACCAAAGCTATGCATGGGGCAAGATATTTAAACCCAAATAATATTCCTGTCATTAGGGAAACAAAACCCACCTAACGGCCAAATGGATGAGTAAGCTACAACAGTGATTTCACAGTCTGTCCATGTCAGAAACACCTTTGTGCTATGGCCAGGACCCATTAGCTTTTTTTAAAAAAATAAATATATATAAACTCCCTCCATCAGACTCAGTATGAAGTGCCAGAAGACCTGCACATGACAGAAGGACTTGCTAATCTGAGTTGTGCTCTTCCTGGTTGGTGAGATGGAGTCACAAGATACTTAGGCCACTAATGAGCAGCAGAGCCAGATTAATCTGGAGAAGCAACCTCCCTTCTGCAGTCACAAAATGACACAACTTCCACTGCAACTGCTAATCTCAGATACGCCTGCTATAGCAAACCTCTGTCGGTACCATGTGCAGAGAATGCTTTCAGCTGAAAATCAAACTATAAGCACAATTAACAGAAGAAGCTGATGCGTCAGGTTCAAGACAACTTGGGATTCACACCAAGACATCTGATGAAGATAACATTAGTAGTGAGAACATCTTTAACTGTCAGGTACACTCACTGCCTTCTGCTGTATTTGACAGCATCAGCCCTGAAAAACCTGTGTCCTGCCCAAGAGGCAAATGTAGCCATTGGGATGCACTAGATTAATTAACATGCCTCTTCCTCCAAGCAAAAGCTCCAAATGGCAAGAGGACTGCTGGCCACTTGCAGTGTTCCTACAAAACACTCATCACCGCTGCACAGAAGAAGGTAGTGTGCGGGAAGCAACCCAGAAAGCCCCTGCTACGCTGGCATCATGGTCCTCCCCCTTCCTGAGAAGCACATGCAATGAAAAATCTTGGGACTCATTCCAGCTAGTTATTTCATGGATCTATAAAGGGGGGTGGATGTATGCACAAGGAACAAAGGATATAGAACCCTAGAGCCTCAGGATGATTCTTGCCCACATGTAGAGTAAGTCATGAAACAACTCCTGGAGATTTTGCCTCTTTGTTACTGTGGCTAAGACCATCAAAAGAAAGATCTTCAGGAAAAGACTAAGACCCTAGCCACAACTTACTATTCATTAATAAAAAGAAATAACAGATACGATCTATTTCATGTATTTTCCAGTTTCTATTCTGAACTGAGAAAGCAAGGCAGTTTTGTATTTTTTCAAATAACTTGCCTGAATAATGATTATAACTATATTAAACTATTCTCACTAGGCAGCTTACATGAAATCTTCACACACAGTCCAGATTTAGCCATGCAGTCATTTGAAGAATAGTGTGATCTCAATTCCTCTCCCAAAAAGTGACAGGGGCAGGCTCTCCAAGTCATAAATTCACAGAAGAGAGAACCTGCAGGCACTAGCACCCAGGGACTAGCAATGCCAATATGTAATCACTGTGACATTGTTTATCATCTTTGTGGTCATTTTGCAATAAAATTAGGACTGATCATCTCAATTTTAATTTCTTTGGGGTTGAGGAGAAGTGGGACAGGGATTCTGCAACATCAGGATTTTATTCCACCTCCTCAGGACCCATCTCTGACAAATGCATATCCTGACAGGCACTGAACAAATAAAAATTGTTTCTGAGAGAAAGAAATTTGTCTCTGCAGCATTTTAGGAAAAAAAAAATAAACTAAAAGCACAACTAATGGAAGTTGATGGCCCAGGTAGGGTGCAGCCTCAGTGAGTAACCTGTGCTGCTCAACCTGTTCAGTCACTTGCAGCGTGAACACTTGCTCTTAGCCAATTCCTAGAACAGGAGGAATAAAGTTTGTGTCTGTTTTGCTCTCCATGATTTCAGTCTACCCTTGCTGCTTCTGCAGTAGTTAGTAAATATTCCCCAGGGGGAAATGAAACGAGGCTGAACTCATTCTGCATAGAAGTATTGTAGAAACCCTGAAAGCCTTCCGATGCTGTCTGGAATGGAGCCAGCAGTGTAAAAGATAATGCATACTTCCTCCCTGCCACACATTCCTATTTGTGCAACCTAATCACCTGACAGCTGCAAAAGCCCTTCAAGAAACACCCAGTGCACAAAACAACACATTTATTATCTCCTCTGCCACTGGGCCACATACTCAAATCCTCTGGATCAAACTCACATTTGTACCACTGGCCCTCTTCCTGCCTCCCCATCCCTCCTTCCCAGCCAACTGCTCTCACTCAAGACAAGCAGTTTAGGATATTCTACATATAATTTTATTTTCTTTGGAGGGTGTGGCAAACGGACTGATGGAAACCTGAACTCCCTTGGTTTCTTTTAAACCATCTGGTAACTTTATTTAGTGCCCTGAGAAGCTGGAGATACACACTCAAACTCCCCACTCTTCCCCTCTGACAGAAGATGCTCCACTCCTCCCACTGTCCTTGACATTTTTCTCTGTTTAGTTCTATCTGTTCCTTTTTAGAAGAGAGCCACACATGGTATTCAAAACATGAGTACACAATGAGTTTGCCTAGCGGAGTATATCATGTTTGAGTACCTCCTGACATTGGATTTGAGCTTTAGAATGCATCCACGAATTGTCAGTATTTTCAGAAAACTGAAAAGGGCCCCCAAAATTACATGTCTTGCACAACTGAAGCAAACACAGAGCATGCTGCTACATGTACACCAGTCCTCTCCCTGCTGCTCCAGGTGCTGCAACCTTAATTTTTTCCCACTATTTTGCTACTGCTTTATTAACTTCTTATTTGATACGAAGGGATCAGCCCCACCATCCCAGCGAAACAACGTAACTCCTCACCAAAGCAGCCAGAAAACTGCAGAAGTTGACCTGGTGTTGACTCCCAGGTCAAACACGAATGACTGCTATCAGGACATGCTCACCAGACACAATTTAAACTGCAAAACCCATCTTGGGGATGGACAGATGAGTTACAGTTAACAAAATTATGCGCTTTCTAAAGAGGAGAGGAAAAAAGCAAGAGCACTGTCAGCGCTTGTCCTGTGGGCTCAGCAAGCAGTGAAACCCACAAACTCAGCTTCACATGAAATAGTATTCTGGTAGTAGAGATTCTTCAAATGGAGAGAAGCAAACAAGTCACAGGACAAGGTCTGACACATATGTGGCAACCAAAGTGTTTTTTTCAGCATTGCACAAGTGAATTTCTTAACAAAAAGTGATATTTTAAGGGACATACTGACAACACCCATTCCCAATTCACAGCAGACTAATTAAAACAAACAGGCCACAGCTTAGGGGCTGACAGTGGAAAATACCAAGCAGCAGCTTAAGAGGAGACTCTCACCAACCTGTGTTTTGTTTCGAGCTTGAGGAGCCGCTTTGTTCTACCTTAGCTTTCTTCTTTTTTGAGGAAGAGGAGTCTGAAGACGGCGCTGGACGTTTCTCTACGACCGGTGTGGAGAGGGCACGCTTTTTGAACAGCTCTCGCTCTCTCAATAAGGTCGGGTCCATAATTCTGTCAAGAGCAGCAGGAGGGAAAAGGTAAGAAGTCGGTATTAGAGTCAATCGGACCGTTGAGAGCTGCTGGTGAAGGTGTTTGTTCATGGTTTGCAACTTTCTCTGCCTGTGCGTGGACTTTTAACAAACTGACGTGTCTGGGGATTTCAGGGGTCAGAACAGCGCCTTAACCCCAAGAACAACCGAAGGTGGAGAAAGTGATTTAGTTTAAACCAGCCTTAAACCCGCACCGGTGTGAAGAACGGCTGGCTACGCTCGCTGCTGGCCCAGCACCGAGCGGCACCACTCGCCGGGACCAACTGTCTGCCTCTAGGGCCCCGGGCGTTAACAGCGAACCTCAGAGCCACCGACGGGAGAAGAAACTTTGTCAGTAAAGCAGCTGCCTCCCAGAACCACCGACTGAGATTCCGTTCGCCTCTCTCTTCCTCTCTCTTCCTCTCCCTCCCTCCCCCTCGCCCCCCCACCGCCCTTCCCCCAGCACAGTGCGGACCAGTCCCCGCTCACCCCTGCCCCTCACCTCGGGCGCCGCCACCGCCCGGCGAGGCGCAGGCCGCACACCACTATTGGGCCATGCCGTCTTCCCGGCAGCCTCTGCCCCAGCTCCCGCCCCGGAAGTGGGTGCGCCGTTACCACGGCAACGCACGGCCCTGCCCGGCCCTGCCTGTATTGATCCCTCCCCAACAGAGAGACGTGGAGAATTGTTTATTGCTTTAATAACAGCAAATTTCACACAGTGAAAAGTATTTCCGGGGTAATTCCTCTCTCCGCACCCGCCGAGCGACAGTAGCAGTGTAAAGCAAAGCACGGAGGCGCACTCATAAAGTACTCATAAAGAAAGTACTCTTAGTAACAGCAAAACATCCATCTTCATTTCTCTGTTCAACTAAAAATCCCTTTTCTGGTGTCTTTTATGTGTTTCTTGGTCTGGATGACAGGTAGAACTGTCGCTGCTGAAGTCTGAAACCAGTCTGGCACCTTCCTCTTGAAAGGGGGATGTGAGCTCTAGAAGAATAAAATAAACATGGAAAAAAGATAAGCTACATAGGATATAGCTTATCATATTATCTTATATATAAGCTAATTTATATAGCTCTCCTCCCTGAAATGATGCTTCTCAGGAATTGTAAGCTTTTCGCTACTATGGTAGATTGCTCACATGTCCCTTAAATCATAGAATCACATAGAAAGGACCTTACACTAGACCGTGTTGCCCAAGGAAATGCAGCATCTTGAAGCAATCAAGGGACTAAAGCTACAGCAGGATGAAGAATCTAGGCTGGGAAATATCTGACCTGAAACAAAACACATGCTCTTGTGCCCCTACAAACACATGTTCTAGAAGTGCTCATCAGCAATCAAAAGACAGTGGTATGCATTTAGTGTTTCAAGGAGATACCTGCTATGCTGTAATTCCTGTGTAGGAATTATATCTACCTAACATAGACCAGACCATGAATAATGATTTGTCTGCGTTATAATTTGCACTCAAAAATATCCAGCTTCAAACTGAAGTGATCTGTACAGCAAGTAGTGCTGCTCAGAGCTTCGCAAGCTCCTTTAGAAAAACAAAACAAAAATCAAAAAACATTATATTTATAACCTGAGTTGATATAATCACCAGTGCAAAAATCCTTAATGAGATGAGCATACAAGCTTGTACAGCTTTATACCTGAAAGAAGAAAAGGAGGCAATCATCTTAAACTACTGGGAGCATCTGCCACTAGATGGCTGACAAGATGTAACAGGGGAAAAAAAAAAATCCTATAGCAGGTTGATGCTGTTAAAATGGTTTATTTGGGCAAAGCAAGAGTAATAGAAAGAGTATGCTGTCACTGTACCAAAGATAATCACAACAGAAGTTGGCTGGCAAGCTACGCCAAGATTTTAGGCACAGTGGAGAATCCAGATGCAAGCTGTGATTTAGGTTTGTTAAAAAGTTCAACACCCTAATCATCAGGTCTGGGCTCTGCTCCTGGCACAGACCTCCAGGCAGTCTCACCTTGGACTCAGAGTCTGCAAACAGCTCCTCCTCACTGGGATCAAGGGCAGGCTCATTAGGGGAAACTGGCGTAATGGGCTTTGGGCAGCCTCCTGCTGCTCCTCCACTACCTGGCTGGCCACCATCCACACTCTGTACAGCCTTTCCGTAAGACATGAAGAAAGCAGGCTGTTATATCCATCTCAGCATTAAAGCTTAAGTCTGCACATATCAGATTCTATGCAAATGCTGCATTTTGGAACTTTTTTTTTTTTTGAAGTAAATTGAGTCTGTAAACCTCTGCTTAATGAGATTGCTATTTCTTATCCATTTCATCACAATGAAATTTGAGTAAGCACATCCATTACAAACACAAAGGAAGCGGAACTTGTACTTGGCTCTTTGTTGCAGTGAAGAAGAAAATTTTCTCCATCCCCATGGCTCCACAAACTTGAAGCAACTTAATTATGTCTCAAGCACTGTGTTTTTAAATGTGTTTTTACAGCAAAGGCATCAGTTAAAAATGGCATAGTGGGAACAGAGATACTAACTTCTACATTCTAAATAATGCCTGCTAGTCACCGGTTGAAATAGCAACCTGAGATTTTTGGATTGAGTACACATCTTGGTGTTCCTGAGATCATCTCTACTATCACTTCTACATGCTTTATTACAGTAAGAACATCTGGTTACCAAAGCCAAAGGCACCACTTGCAGATGGGTTTTCTCTGCTCTTTCCCTCAGTGTCAGATTGATTGAATTGCCCTATAAAAACAGCAGTAATGTAAGGTTGTTAAAACCCAAGATCATTCATTAGCAGATTTAAAAGGTGCTTGCTACAGGGAATTATTAGAATAAGCATATTTTCTGAAGGAGAAGTAAATAAAGACTATTTGGAATAGGTTTTGGATTTGCAGTCTACTCATTTGTATAATATTAATTTGATTTCTAATAGCATGTGATCCCTGTTGAATAGCTCCATGGCTAATAGTAGCAGGGGAAAAAAAGTATTATTTGAGCTCATGAAATTGGACTTCCAGGAGTTAACTTCAGGAAAAGGGTGGTTTAGGCCCAGATACTGTCTAAATAAAACAGCACTTGGATACAAGAAATAATCAATTTGGCAAAATGGCAAGGCTTGAAGATTTGTTTGAGCCAGAGTTGAAGAAATCAACCCCAAACATGAAATCCTAGAGCAAGCAGCAGAAAGGTCTAGAGTTTGTAATTTCTTTTCACCACCAGTGCAGGGTGACCTTTTGTACAAGGTGCTGAACTGGAACTTGGGAGATGTTAGCTCAGCCTTTCTCCAACAGCAACAAAGAGTGCCTTATTTCCTGAAATTTCTTCCCAATGAGTCAGCCTTATGGCATGACACTTTTCTTGTTATCACTTCTATGCCCATCAGTTTCAAGCAACAGAGAAACCCATGAAAGACTCGGACATTTCTAAAGAGGCATTGCCTCTGTTTTTTTCACACTCTTAACTCTTCTGTTGCCTTAGGCTTCTACGCAGGAAGAGAGTTACTTTTCCCCACATCAGGTTGACGATCAGATACCAATGCACACAAGCTAGCCAAGGGCAGAACATGGAATCTGTGGCAATGAAGGATCCAGATTTCCAATTGTTTTTATACTGGGGAGCACAGGGAATTTGAGCTTTTTCCTCCACTGCCCCAGCTACATTAAGTCCAGGATTTTAAAGGGGACCTTTTGCATCCACATCCTGAAGGACTGAACTATAGCAGGAAGCGTTTACCCCCGAGGCCACTGTTAAGCTGCCATTGTGATGGTCTACCATGGTGGACCATCATGTGCCTGATCTCCTTGGGCTGGATGTCCAGGACTTATTATGGTAGAGATGAACTGACAGACCCACATGGCACCTGATTTGATCTCTTCCTGTGTGTATCAGATTACAGCTAAACTGCACAGGTGCAGCCTTCTTCCAAGGTCAAGACTTTGCAAGGGGAACTCTCTGGTTCTGCTGTGAGCACTACTCTCCCAAGGCGGCAGAGGGCAGACTCACTCGAAGCTGACAGAAAGACAAATTGTGAAGATGAGACACTAAGCACTACTGGGAATAGCAAAGGGCTTTTAAGCTGCTCCAAAAGAGGAAACTATTTTCACAAAACCAATTTCATACCTTTTCTTACTAACCTTTGTTTTACTCCACATGGCATCTTCCCTGTTCTCTTGATTTGCTCCTGTTTTTTCCTCCTGCTCTTCTGACCACACCAACATCCTTTTGAAGCCTGACCCATCCCAAGACTTATTTCTGTCCCCTTTCTCCAATAACGCAATAGTCATCCTGATGAGATACAGTTCAATATTTGCAGGAACAAGTTTTCTGATTGCTTGAATTTTAGTGGTGTCTTGGAAAAAAGCATGAATACAATATTAGTTTTTTAATCCTCTTGTCCTGTATTCAGTTGTCTTTCATAAAACACATCATTAAAGCAAAAGATAAAGGCACGGAGAAAGACAATAAATAAAACAGTGGATCGTGAGCTCATGGGATAAATCCCCACCACATTCATTACTATCCTTCAATTTAGTCAAGTATTAGAATTGCCTGCCTTAAACATGCATTTCCTATCAGCCATTTTCTCTTGAAAGGAAGGCTCTATTAGCCTATGCTGAAAAACCTCTCTGTTTTTTAAGTAAAGTGCCATACCAGTCTTCCATTCCAGTGTGGCGCTAAATTTAAAATAGCAATCTGAGAGTCTGGCCAAGCCTGTAACTGCAGCTGAAAAAGACACATTAATCCACAACAGGACAAAAACAATGAAGCCAGCAAGTCCAATCTTGTCAACCTAAGAAATTAAACTACTAGGGCAAGACTGAAGTTTAAGTGACCCAGTCCCAGAATTCTAAGTGAGCACATGGCTGTCTTCAACCTCTGAACTAGCCCATAGCTCCAGCATTAGGAGTAAGAACTACTTTTCCTGCACTTACCAGGTTCTTCATCACAAACAAGTATCTTGAAGTTAAATTGCACCAGGGAAATCCTACAGCTGTTATTCATATTTTTTGTAGATACCAGTACTTACAGGAAGTTTGTCGGGCTGTTTTCCCCAAAGACCCAAGTAAATACAGATTTAAGAAATATCCCAAATCTTTCCAGCAGCCATACAATTGAGAGAAAGGGTTTGTAAAGGGCTACCCTACCCCTCTTCAGCTCTAATGAACCACAGTAGCTTTATTTTACAACATAACCTTGGAAAGAAAGCAATGACCCTGGCCTTGCTGGGCTGTGCCTTGCCACAGCCCTTCCAGAAATGATGGTTTCTACCTGAAGCAGCAGCTGAGCTGTCAGTTTTTCACTCCCTTCATCTGTATGCCATTGTCATGAGAAGCTTCAGAGAAGGGCTGCGATGCTCACCTGACTCAATGGGAGGGTTACGAATAACATCAGAAATCATCTGGTGAACTTCAGGAGTCAAACCTGCTCGCTCCAGGTTGACAGGGTAGCCAGCTTTCAGTGCCTGGAACAGGTGAGTGCCAACCTCAGAAAGAGGTAGAGATCTGCTCTCACTGATAGTCCTCTAGGAAAACAAAGGCAGAAGGGATTGAGATGGCAGAATTGTCACCTCTTAAAACATTTGCCTTGAAGAAAAATATCTCAAATTATCTGCCTAAACTTGTACTTTTCAAGGACAGATTTAACATCCTCCTTGGAAGAACAGGTTTCAAGCTTCTCCCAATTTCTCCTCAGACAATACACATACTATGCATATAAACATCAGGATTAGTGGATACAGAGCATCTTTATAATTATACATTTAATAATTAAACATTTAATTATACCCATTAAGAATTATACAACTGTTCCTTGTTAATTAGTACTTAGATACACTTTTAAATTACGGATTAGCTAACAAGGTTTACCCATGCTCTTGGGAGAGACAAAACAAAACTCAGCACAACTTTAGTTTCCTATTGTAGAATTAAAACTACATCAAAGCAGCTTATAAGGCTCATCTCCATAGGGTACATGGCATGATGCCACTTAGCCACATGCCCCAGAGCATGTCAACAAACTTGGTTGTGACAGGTAACTTGTACTCCACTTTTTTTCTAACAGGTAGACACAGCTCAAATCTGAACTAGAAAGCCACAATAATACACAGCAGTTAAGGCTTCTGTTTTGTGTTGAACCTTCCCAGGAGCTTTGTTTCTTGGCATGGAAGCTTTACGCATGGGTATGGCATATGGAAAGGATAGGGACTTACAACCCAAACCAGAGTTAATGAAATTTATCCCAGTGGTTATTAACCATAAAGATATCCCTTTATTGGGCCCCATGCTTGGTGTTTTTCCATCAAGATCAGGAAATTTTTTCTGTATGTCCTTACTAGTATGAAAAGGCAGAGACAGTATCAGGCAGAACTAACACATGCAATAGAAAAGCATGCTGCTAACTCCACTGAAATAGGGCAGGGTTAGTGACAGAAACATTCTGCCTTAATGCCTGCCAATCTGCATGGGCATCTTAGCAAGTAGGGAGCTGTATCTTACCTCCCTGCATCCCACCTCACAGCAAGCCGTTTCTCATAATTTTACCCATCCATAGCATTAAATTAGATAAGGTACCACTAGCCAGGAAAGTATTTTAAAGTAACCCCACCCCAGAGGATATAAGAGAACTTGCAAATCCCCCTCCTGTAGACAAAGCAACCCCTCCATTAGTTTTCATAAAGGAAGAGACCTCCACAGGGAGTAGCCTACCACAGAGAGATTTTTTTCTTGGAACAGGACATATGTAACATGCTCCGAGGGAGAGAGGGCTCCAGTGTGGTTCCATGGAGATGCTTTTTTCTGATCTTTAGATCCAGATGGAGAGAATGCGTCAGTCTAAGTGAGACAGAGAGAATTAGTAAGAATTATAACCCAGTGACAACCAATGGATCACCCTTCCATACCTGAAGTTACCCAAAAGAGAAACATCAATCAGGTCCATCTCAATGGAGAAACCCAAGTCCACGTTCCACAAAAAAAAAAAAAGAACAGAAACAAAAACAAACCAACCCAAAAAAACCCAACCAACAAAAAAAAAAAACAAAACACAAAAACAAACCCAAAAGAGAATCCAGACAGATGTCCCATCTTAAATGAATAAGCATGGGATTGTTCAAGGGCCATGAAAAAAAACAAAGCAACACAGAAAAACAGCATCTGGGTCAACACAACATCTTAGGTGTTACTCATTACACCCATAAAACCTAATAGTTTTATTCTGATGGAATAAAACTATTTTATCAGCACAAACTGTGTTATTTAGTCTGCTGCATAACATGGGAACTCCTCTGTTTTCATTTTCTGCTTCAAGACAGATTCCTTGAAAAAAGCACCAAATCAGGAATGCTTTTGGTCTCCATTCCTAAATCACAATAGCTTCCTGTGAAGCAGAGTCTTCTCAAACATTACAGAGAAGTAGTATTGCTGCTCTACCTACCTTTTGGACGAGATAAATCCCTTTAACTGTAGATTTAACATAGATATTAAGATCCCCCAAGCAAAGCTGTTTCGTAGTCTCTCTAATCCTCCACTCTGTGGCCCCTCCTCCCTAGTGGTGTGTCTCATCATAGTGACATAGAAACCACTCTACAGAAAGTTTTGCACAGAAGAAAATCGACTGTGAGAAAAGAACCAACATTTCCAACAGCTAGAAATCTAAGCTCTTCAGCCAGGCTTCTAAGGATAAACTTAGAGAAAGCAAAGCCCTGCCCTCCTGGTCTACTGAGTCATTATGATGAAGGAACATCTATACAAATTCGATCTCCAGCCCCAGATCACAATAACAAGCTACAAGCTCTTGGTAACACCTATTGGACTCTCAGCCTGGCCACATGGGTGACCTCTATAAGGTTGTCTTGGACTTCCAGGATGGCCACACTAATCTGGAACATCAGCCACATCCCAGTGACATCCCAATGTCATTGCCAAGGAACACATTCAGATTTGGTGAGAACTCTGTACACAAGGTTAGCAAGCTTCACTCCCACACATGGATGGAATAGCTGGGATATGGACTAACTCTGAAGGACAAATCTGACAGCTACAGACCAAATTACACTAAGGCTCCTGCAAAGTAGCAGACACTCATAATTCATACCTGTAAGCCATTTACTTGGCAGAAATCCTTAATTTCAGCCAGAAGAGGAATCAACATGGTGGATTTTGCTGCAGATACACCATCAATTCTCTTCACATTCTCAACAGTCGTAGGCCTGGTTTAGGATGAATAATAAAAGCTGTGGTAATGTTCTGTGCCAGTGCTTTAAAACATCAGGTGTCTGTCAATGACCTATGCTTGGCACACAGATCTATTATTGAAGACTTGAAAGTGTTATTTCTGTACCTTCATCATCTCTGCAACTATTTAAGTTCACCGCTTCTGCGTCTGAATCATAAAGCTTGACTAGAGCAAAAATATGAAGTTTCTTGCTTACTATTTTGGAGTATCAGTTTTCCACATACATCTTCATTTGCTTTATTACCTCCCAAGAGCACATACCCCAGAGCTCCTACATGGAACAACAACATACACATTCCCCAAGTAATGTTCTCTAGTGCTGTTTAGTAGCTGGAAAAGGCACTTCAGATGCATTATCAACTGAGCTGCTCCACAATACCCCCTCATACAGTGAGAAAAAAAACAAACCAAAAACACATAGTTTTTCCCCCCCTTGCAGTACTTGAGAGCCACACTAAATTGTGCTTATTCTTTTACACCAGTTACCCATACAAGGTAAGGGAGAGCTCCTGACCTGTAGCTGACCCTTAGCAGATAAGGGCATTGTAAAAATTTTTAAGACACAATGGAGAGAAGTAGATGGAATGTAAAGGATTAGTAGAACACACACTTTCGTCCTCTGACTCATCAACCTGACAGGAGGTTTGGACACAGACAAAAACCAAGCCTGATGTCAACTGCTTAACTTATACCAGACAGTGGTCTACAAGGGTATTAAACAGAAATTCTCAAGAGAGCTGTTCCTCTACCCATGAGACACATGCTCCCAACAAGAGCAGAAAGGGGATTTGTGACTTGGCTTGCAACCCCCTCAGTTTGTACAACACGTGCGCATATCCGCTTTACCTTATTCGGGCCATCTCCACCAGGATCTTATTGGTTGCCAAGACAGCTGGAGGAATTACTTTCTCATTAGCTACCTTCTGTCTAGCAGTCAGCAATTTGCCATAGAGAGCAGTCTGTGAAGAGAGCCATATTCTCATAAAACAGCTCTAGATTGATGTAATTAATACAAGAGGAAGAGTTACAGCTTCCCTCATCTTCCCACTAATATACAAAAAAATCTAATCCATCTTAACATATTCAAATCCACTTCTAGGACTTCTATTCAAAACACCTTTTTAATATTAAGAGCAGCCCAAGCCAGCTGCTCCAATATAGGATGACTGTTTTCTGCAATTCACCCATATCCTCCCTCTTCCCAAAACTTGCCTCTAGTTCTTTTTCTTGGGATGAAACAGCAGGTTCTGAAGTCTTCAAAGGAGATCTGAACAACGAGCACTTTGCAACACTATCGAAAAAATAAAGAAGCATGAAACAAGCCTGTGTTAAGATAATTTTATACAGGAACTTTGCACAGGGCTGTAGGAAAGCAGCAGCCCAACCTATTTTGACTTCTGACAGCACCATCAGACTGCAGTCTGGCACCTTGTGCTGGTGCTGCACTCATACAGGAGTTGAGCTGGTTGGGGCAGAATGAGCACTATCCCTAACCTAACAGAAATCCTGTATCTGGTCCCATAACTTGAAAATAGTCCTAATGGACAAAGCTCAAACAGCTGAAATAACACTTTCGTGGGAAAAAAAAAACAACCAAAATCCCCCATCAATATTCCTATCAACAGCTAGATTCTCCTATTGTTAACAAAAACATGTTTTGACAAGCAATTGTCCACTCATAACATTATTCTGACAGTATCCCACAAGAAACACCTTATGTTACACCCCCACAGCTGATAATCTTGGCCAAAAAGAGTTAATAACTTGAAAGACATTAGTAAGAACACAGCTGCTGACCTGTAAGCAGAATTAGCTGATATTACTGCAAGGCACGTCTGCCTAGAAAGCAGCACCACAGCAGAGACTCACATATTTTAGGACATTCACCCCTAATTAGACTGCTGTGATTATACTGCAATTATCTGTTAGCAGTCAAGCTAGGAGTAGGAGCATTCTTCCCTAAGCAAAGGGTGAAATAATACTTGTTTGAATCATAGCTGTCCGCAAAATGATTTTTCTTCACATGGCTGCAGTGGCAATTATTCACTCTAAGTGACATATCCTGTTTTCCAGTCATCTCCCAGCATAAGGCACAAGGATGAATCAAACTGCTCAGAAATGCAAGGTAGGTTTAATCTTAAGCACCACACAAGCCAGGAAAACAAATTACTTGGTCTGCTTTTTGCAAAAGCTTGTTTAATTTCTTTTGACCTGAGGGAGCCTCAACCTCATTCAGTCTTCTCCAAACTAACACAGAAAGGCAGAAACCTACATGCTCATTTACAGCCCCTGCACAAGGCACACAGCTTTAAGAGCAAGTCACAACCTAATAACTATTTTGCTTGAATTATTATTTGCAAACTGCTTGGGAAATAAATGACTCTCCATTGTTACTTTAAGTCATCACAAGTTAAAATTCATTAGTTTCAACCTTCACGTAGAAGAGATTGAAAAAACATGGGCTCAGGAAAATCATTTAATCTAAATCTGCTGTTGCTCCATTTTTAGTGAGCATCTGCTGGTTTTCTTGCCTGGATTTGAAGTAATACCTGTGACAAAGCTGCACTTCGGCCATTAATAAAGCTCACTTTGCCTGTGAAACTGCAAGTACATACAACTTGTCAAAGTCCAAGCCCATTACATGTTGTAATAGTTCAATGTTTTGAAATATAATGCAGTGTACAATAAGTTCTACATGCTTGTCTTTTTTTTTTTTTTAAATACATTAAACCTTTTCACCATCACTTCCCACAAGAGAATGCCGAGTTTAAGCATCCTGAAAACAGTATCCCTACCAATACAGTCAAAATCAGGTAATTCAGTGATATTTTAGAATACTGTACCTGTTAAGCATGTTATCGCTTCCTGGAAGAGTTTCGCCTTTTCTCTCGTATGAAAACATCTCATACAGAGACATCTATAAAAATATAAATAAATAGAAGAACAAAAACAAACAAATGCTGATTTACAATTCTTTTCAGTGAAGTTGTTAGCAGCCAAATATTCTTTTGAAACATTATGAGACACTTGCAAGGTTTCTTGAATACAAGCATGGACAGACCACAGAGTGCAAGAGGGGTGATACACACAGACCTGCTTCACTGGAGACTGTCCTGCTCCTTTCTTAACTGGTGAGCGCTGCATTAAGGGCACAGGTAAAGGTCTGCTGCTGTAAGGAAGTGAATTATATCTTAGTCAGGTCAAAGTTTTTTTAATGGCAGTGTCACTGTACAAATAAAAGTGTGCTAAGCAAACTGATCTGAACTTTGTAAAGGGATATGTTGAGCAAATCAGAAGTTCTTACTGATAAATTATTTTAATCGCCATTCTTGGCGAAAAAACACTGAGGAGCTCAAAGCTTCTCAATACTAAAACTAACAAGAAACAAGAATCTTGTTGGCTGCATCAAAAGGAGTGTGGCTGCATCAAAAGAAGCATGACCAGCAGGTCGAAGGAGGTGATCCTGCTCCTCTACTCTGCTCTTGTGAGACCTCACCTGGAGTATTGTGTACAGTTCTGGCGTCCTCAACATAAAAAGGACATGGAACTGTTGGAACAAGTCCAGAGGAGGGCCACGAGGATGATCAGGGGACTGGAGCCCCTCCCGTATGAAGACGGGCTGAGAAAGTTGGGGCTGTTCAGCCTGGAGAAGAGAAGGCTGCGTGGAGACCTCATACCAGCCTTCCAGTATCTGAAGGGGGCCTGAAGGATGCTGGGGAGGGACTCTTCATTAGGGACTGTAGTGACAGGACAAGGAGTAACGGGTTAAAACTTAAACAGGGGAAGTTTAGATTGAATATAAGGAAGAAGGTGGTGAGGCACTGGAATGGGTTGCCCAGGGAGGTTGTAAATGCTCCATCCCTGGCAGTGTTCAAGGTCAGGTTGGACAGAGCCTTGGGTGACATGGTTTAGTGTGAGGTGTCCCTGCCCATGGCAGGGGGGTTGGAACTAGATGATCTTAAGGTCCCTTTCAACCCAAACCATTCTGTCAGTCTATGATTATGGAAGAAACAAAGATTTTTGTGACAACACCTGAAAGATTCATTTTTTAAAGACTCCATTACTAGAGAAAAAAAAACAGGACCAACTTTCTGGCTTACACTAAGCATACAGCTTTCCCTGTTGCTTATGTTTAATAACCAGCATTTTTTGACAGCTAGACAGCAGCTGAGAGTGCCACAACAGTAGAACATTAAAAGACAAAAGAAAATTGCTACTTTGTCTTTACCCAGTTTTGGTTTTGAGCAACAGTCTAGACACCGAAACAGGCTCTTAAGGCCAGCTCTGAAGAACTCTATTCTAATACTATTTCTTGCCACAGCAAAGCCTCTGCAACCTCCAGTTCATTACCTTTCACTTCACTTCTGTGTGTGCAGAACAACACAACACTGCTTATTAAATATACCCAGAAACAAAGAATTACAAGAAAATCTTCATGTTATTTTCTTGGAGCTCTATCATCTGATGGCAAATACCTGGCCACCACTGAAAAAGTACCCTACTTTTGCAGACATACTCACCAGGTCTTTAAGCAGTTTAAATTTCACAGAAATACACAAAGTGTTAGAGATCTGCACTGAATCAATTCTGCTTGAACCAAAAGCTTTCCCATTTCATTCTCAGCTTAAATGTTATGAAAAGTAGGTCAGGTGCATAACTGAGAAAAGTTGCTAGCTGCTCTGTTTCAAGTCTCATGGTATAACTCATCAGCATTAGGAAGAACATCAGCCTTGATGGATTTTCCTCTCCTGTTTCTTGTCTTCAGCTGGTTACTTTCTCCATGAGGATGCACTGCTACAACATACTTCCAGGCTACCCAGAAGGCACCCATTTTCTGAGTAGATCAAGTACATTCACTACATTCTCCACTAACTTTCCCAGTTACACAACCACACCATTTGTCCGATTTAAGCTGCTAAGACGTCACTTTTCATACCAGCAGTCAAAGGTGTTTATCCAAGCACTCACAGTAACTTCTTTAGCTCAGAATCACAGAATGGTTTGGGTTGGGAAGGATCTTAAGATCATCTAGTTCCAACCACCCTACCATGGGCAGGGATGCCTCACAGTAGACCATGTTGCCCAAGGCTCTGTCCAGCCTGGCCTTGAACACTGCCAGGGATGAAGCATTTACCACTTCTTTGGGCAACCTGTGCCAGTGCCTCACCACCCTCACAATAAAGAATTTCTTCCTGATATCTAACCTGTACTTCCCTTGTTTCAGTATAAACCCATCACCCCTTGTCCTGTCACTACAGTCCCTGAGGAAGGGTCCTTCACCAGTATCCTTGTAGGCCCCCTTCAGATACTGGAAGGCTGCTCTGAGGTCTCCATGCAGCTTCTCTTCTCCAGGCTGAACAGCCCCAGTCTTCTCAGCCTGTCTTTGTATGGGAGGTCCTCCAGCCCCTGAACATCCCTGTGGCCCTCCTCTGCTCTGGCCTTGCTTCAAAAGCTCCATGCCCTTCTTATGTTGAGGACACCAGAACTGCACACAGAACTTCAAGTGGGGTCTCATGAGACCAGAGTAGAGGAGCAGCTGTATTTTTGTATAATGCTACAAATCAGGGATAGTTATGGCTGGAAACTTCAAGTGCAGAAGTCTTTTGTCCAACCTAGCCATCTCCAGAAGCAGACTCCAGAAACTGATCTGGTGTTATACTGATTGAAAAAAGGGCTAAAGAGAACACATGTACAATTACCTTCTAGGTGGTCTCTGAAGGTTAAGGTCTTCACTGGAGTGTAGTAGAAGACTTGGATTTGAGTCAGATTCAGCTTTTAACAGCCAATTTCTACCCTGGAGGAAATAAACCTCATGGCTTAAATACAGCTTACTGCGATAAGCTTTTGATGGGTAAGTTTCACAACAAAAGGTACCTTCTGGGTAAGCACGCATGTGGTTGCAAAGATGTTATGCTTAGAGACTTCTTTGAGGAACCCTTCCATTATCAGCTGTTGGCAGAGTGATTTCCACCAGTTCTCTGGCCACTCTTTTCCACTACCAAAGAGAGGGTGTCTTCGGTATCTGTTTGGCAAGCGTTGAGAACTCTGGAATTAGAGAAAGAACTGCTTAGACTTCCCCAGTCCTTATGGAAGTTTCCAATATATCCAGTAAACCAGAAATCCAAGATTCAAGGATCATGTCATCAAGAATACTTCTCCATAGAAGAACTTTAAAGAAAAGTCCCAAGCCAAAATAGTTATTCAAGCTTCCATAATACCCACTACAATAACCACACATACAGCACCTCGCTAGGAGCATAAAACATGCCTATTGCCTCGGTTATGTCACAGTTCATGAAACTGAAGAGCAGTTTTACCTCTAGTACCCTAACCCACTCCTGTGCTTTCTGCCAAGGCTGTGACAAGATCATGACTTTCTTTTGCAGCAAGACCCCAGACAAACCTACATGTAGATCACAGAACTATGAAAACAACTCCCTTCATGTATGGAGAAAATTACAGAAACAACACAGCCATCCATGCCAATGAAGAAATTTATCTAGTAGTTTGCATTCAGCCAGTTCAGGTCAGTGTTACATTAACTTACCCATTCTAGTTTTATTTAAAAAGGTGTACAGAGGTAAAAATAAGTTGATAAACCCTGTTTAAATCCCAGGACAGGGACACAAAAGCCAGAAGCAGGCTCACTATGCATCTGCTCTACTCTTCCTCATTGCAAAGTGTTTTCTGTTTGGTTGGGTTTTTGTTTTAAACAGTTGCTATTTACCTGTCTCATACCACTGATTCAGACTCTAAAAAAGCTGATTAGCTCCTGTCTGTTTGATTCTCACCACCCCCTGAACTCATGGCCCAACGGGATGAGAACAGGATAAAGCCTCTTTCACAGGAGAAGCTCTCGGCATGAGCCTGAAAAGTTGGTAACTTCTCTGAAACAGCGAAATAACAGGGGATCACACATTAGGGAAGTAGAAGACTCTTGAACAGAAATAAGTTTCTATTTATTGCTAGCATATGAAATCAACAGCAAGGCAGGCTTCAGACCCTGTTATTTGTAGACTTGCTGAATCCCTCTCCACTGAGGAAACTCCCATCTCCAGGGATACAGTAAGGAACAATTTGAAGAACTTCAGACAGTCAAAGAGCTGCTACCCTGCATACATAGCAAGAGAGGATTGTTTAAGACCTCTAGCAACAAGGGATAGAAGCTGGAGCAGCCAGGCACAGGCAAGAGTGACTCAGTTTGCTGGTGGATGGGACCAGGGCAGAGTACTGATGGTGAGCACAAGGGAGTAATCTAATCTGCTGGCAAAGAGAAAGCACCAAGTCGTATGTCCTCTTCTAGAAGCCCTCACTCAACTTTTAATACACATTAAAGGAAGACTTACACTTAACACTATAACTGAGCTTCCAGTTATACAAATTACAATAATTACTCCAATGGTGCCACATTTTCAGAGCATGGTTGACTTGAAATTAAACAATAGAAATAATTATAAAAAGAATAAGCTGCAAAACAGTACTGTTTGTGTCCATGTTTGGGCTCAGGATCACAGAATCACAGAATGCCTTGGGTTAGAAAAGGCCTTAAGATCATCTAGTTCCAACCCCCTGCCATGGGCAGGGATGCCTCCAGACCATGTCACCCAAGGCTCTGTCCAACCAGCCTTGAACACCACCAGGGATGGAGCATTCACCAGTTCTTTAGGCAACCTGTGCCAGTGCCTCACCACCCTCACAGTAAAGAACTTCTTCCTTATACTGAACCTGATATAAGGTTAGATATCTAAGACATATATAAGATATATATCTTTCCTGTTTCAATTTAAACCCATCACCCCTTATCACTACAGTCCCTGTTGAAAAGCCCCTCTCCAGCATCCTTGCAGGCTCCCTTCAGATACTGGAAGGCTGCTCTGAGGTCCCCCATGCAGTTTCTCTTCTCCAGGCTGAACAGCCCCAACTTTCTCAGCCTGTCTTCATACGGGAGGGGGCTCCAGTCCCCTGATCATCCTCGTGGCCCTCCTCTGGACTTGCTCAACAGCTCCATGTCCTTCTTACGTTGAGGACACCAGAACTGCACGCAATACACCAAGTGGGGTCTCACGAGAGCAGAGTAGAGGGGCAGGATCACCTCCTTCGACCTGCTGGTCACGCTCCTTTTGACACAGCCAGTATGCAGGTGGCTTCTCGGCTGTGAGCACACACTGAAGACAGCTCATGTTGAGTTTCTTACCGACCAACACCCCTAAGTCTTTCTCTGCAGGGCTGCTCCAAATCACGTTTGTGCCCAACCTGCAGCTGTGACTGGGATTTCCATGACCCAGATGTAGGACCTTGCACTTGGCTTGGTTGAACTTCATAAGGTTGGCATTGGCCACGTCTCAAGCATGTCAAGGTCCTTCTAGATCCCATTCCTTCCCTCCAACATATCAACCAAACCACACAGCTCAGTCTCATCAGCAAACATGCTGAGGGTGCTTGATCCCACTGTCTATGCCACCAAAGATGTTTAACAGGATTGGTCCCAACACCAACCCCTGAGAGACAATACTTGTTACCCATACCCATGTGGACACTGAGCTGTTGACCGCAACAATCTGCATGCGGCCACCCAGCTAATTCTTTCCTAATTCCATCCTAATTCCAGCAGGTGTCCATCCATCTATCAAATTGATGTCTCTCTAGTTTAGAGACAAGGATGTCGTGCAGGACAGTGTCAAATGCTTTGCAGAAGTCCAGGTAGATGACATCAGCTGGATCATCATTTAAAACTTGCTTAGGACTGACCAACAGAAGCCAAATGGCAAATGCAGCTTTGTACAAATGACTAAATGCTAGAGACACTACCGTAAGCCACTTGCAACCAGTCACTGAGACTACTAGTAACAGAGTAATTGTTGAAATAAGTACAAATTCCCATGTTTGCTGATAAAAGAAGGCCTTAAAGAGTTGCATATTCTTGTTTGTTTAGCAAGGTTAGTGTAGTATTTCTGTCAATGAAGCTTTAACTCAGTTTCCCGGAGGACCTTCTTCTCTTTCACGGAAGGCTCAGCATCCGTATCTTAAATGAATCATGGTCTCCCTTGTAGTCCAGCCAAAGACTGTTGGAGGCCACCTGACCTTTTCAAAAACATACTCCTAACTGAGGAGCAACATGAATTATCCATATACTATACACAAACTCTTAAAACAACATACCAGTCAGCCTCAGACAGATGTAGCACAAACTTATGGTGGTATTTCATACTCTTGTTCTAAAGTATATATTGATGCAACAAAGTAAGGAAACTAGGTTTTTTAAATTGCATTAACATAGAAAAGGGTATTCTTGTAGACAGCAAAGTTATTCTCTATTTATAGTGCACATTTGGCATCAGCCTCACTTCTTCCCGTACTGTCAAATAAATGAACAATCATGACTACATTAAGATCTATAACAACATTTTTTTCCCCTAGGCACACTTGTGTGACAATTGGCAACTCCCTATTGTTATTCAAAGGAATGAAGAGGGACATGATTCACTCAGTTTTATCAAGTACTACAGGTGATTTTTTTCCCCTGGGTTATAAACTTAAAAAGTGATTCTGTTCTTCCTCTTGTATTTTATTTCTAGTGAGTTTCTTGCCTACTATTTACGAAGCACTCTAAAAAAAGGTACGTAGAAACAATTTATATTCATTCCAGTATCCTGCTTCCTATCTTACTACTTCAAGTCAGCCACTAGAACAAAGCTAGAGGGCAAGGCATCGTTTGCTTTATTCAAACATAAACCAACTAATTACCAAGCAAAGATGAGTTTATTCTTCATGCAGAAAAAGCTATTCATTTCAGGATAATGGAAATCATGCATCTTCATTAGAAAAAAAAAAAAAACAAACCACCAAAAAACTACTTAGTTACTTCCAGGATAACATCAAACTTGCTACAAAGCAAACAAAACCTCAAGCCTTCAAGGAAGAGGTTTAGAATCCCTGCCAATACTTGGGCTGGCATTCATGTGTTGAACAGACAGCTGTCAGTTATCAACACAAAACGACCTACCAAATACAGGACAGCTCCACACAAGAAAATAGCAGGTACTATTTCTAACCTGAACTCTTAGGCCATAAAGTGCTGAACATTTCCATTTCGTTCCTAAAAAAACAAATCTAAGAGGGCAAGAGTTTGAAGGTAGAAACTGTTCCTTTGCTGTACATGCACATAATTAAATACAACATGTATTCAGGTTCACTACTTTTATGGCTGTTGCCCTAAAGAAAAAAAGCTAGTTTACTGCGTGGAGAGCGCTGCTGAACTCTCTACAGATACCCAGCTCTCTGAGAAAGAGTTACTAAATAAATGTGTGTATACACACTTTTAGATGCATGTACATCAAAGTACTGTTTGGTATATCAATAAAAAGGGACACCTATCAGTTCCTCCACTCTCAGAACACATACAAAAGGTTTTTATTATCACTTACAGACCCTCGAAGAAACAGGATGGGAACTTTAGTTCCAAACTTCTCCTCCAGAGTGCTCACTGCAGACAGCAGCTGATATGCTTGCTTCCCAAAGTCCTGTAAACCACCTTCAAATTCACCGGGAACTGCAAAACAAGACACCCTGAAACACACAAAAAAACCCAAGTTGAACACACATACAAATCAAGTCCACTCTCTTGGTTTGAAATATCAAGTGATAATTAAACAAAATACACACTTCAAGTTACATGAATATAAACAATTGAACACATTTAAGTGTAAGAACTAGGACTAAAAAATGAGAAAAGGAAAAAGTCAAAATCACTTGTGGTTAACACAGCTGCCCAAAAATACAATAAGCAGTTCTTCATGGTACTTGCTGTGACAGAAAAACCTTGACTCAGCAATCTCCTGAATTTAGTATTTTAATATATGGACCGTTTTAGATACACAAGACATTTCTTTAATTGCACCCAATAGCAAAGACTTTCTTTGGCTGCTTTTTTAGGTAACAAAGGGGATAAAAACAGAAGGCAAGAGCAACACCATTAATGCATTTCAAGGGTTTATTAATACCTTTATTGACTCAAAGAAATCATTGAAGAGTTATTAGCACAAATCATTTCTCAGAAGGAGAAAAAGGACAGTGATTTATGGCATCTGATTTCAGTTCCACAACACAAATTCACTATGCAGCTCTTTCAGTGGCACAGCAGCATGTGTTTGAAATGTGTTTCACAGGATTGAAATTATGATCTCTCAAGTTCTCTTCTTCTTTAGTTTTAGTAGAGGCCAGGCAAAGATGTTTCATCCTTGAGCATACAGGACATGTAACTGAATTGATAATTTTTTTCCAGAAGACAGAAAAGCCTAACATCTTGTCTCAGATCAAAAAGCATCAGGCTAACAGCAAGAACAAAGAACCTTTTATTATAAACTTCAGGGAAAGCATGTACATTCACACAGGAGAACCCAAAAGCGATTCTGCTTATACCTGTGTGACTGCTGACCCCTGGGCTTCCTTTCAGCACACCTATGAGATTATCAGCAGTGCTAGAAAGAACATGCTGGAAGAGGAGAACAACTCCCTTTAATTTAACCTTAGACATGTGGTATCACACTCCACTTATGGGTGGGGATTTTTAGGGATTAATTACCTAGCAGGTCTTAAACTGATGAACAGAAGTGTATCTCACAGCTTAACTCTGAACTTTTTTAGGAACTGTCACCATCCTTTGTTAATAGGCTTTCCCACAGTCTAGTTTCAAGCTGCCTCATGGCTTGCTCAACCATTTAGGAGAAGGTTAAAGACAGTTTTTCAGAGATAAACTTTAGGCTGAACATCTGCAAGATCAGGTGCACAAAAAGTCAATTCTTCCAGATTATTTGCCTCATAAATCAGCCTGAGAGAATGTAAAGTCTTATATCAGTCTTCAGGGAAGAAAGCTTACCTGGACCTGCAGTTATCACAGCAATCTCCTGTACCCATGATGCCAGAAGAAACCTTTCGGAGTTGTTTGTCTTCAAAATGAGACAGAATAATTCTATCCAAGGGAATGTAAGGAATTAAATAAAAGACCAAGAATTTACACATTAAATTTACTGCAGAAAACAGAGTTGAAACTAGCATCATTAGTTAATTCACTGGGGAGCCAATTATTTGGCCTTGATTCCTCTAAAGAAAGATTGGGATTTTTTTGAACAGTAAATAAGGAAATACTTGATGAATATGTATAAATATGCTGAAGGCTGTATTTTTTGATAACTGCTACTTCATATAAAACATGCTTGCAGAGCACATGGTCAATATAAGATGCCTCGTGGTTACAACCTCCAGTCAAAACTGACTCAAATGACAAAGCATTAAATAGATTCTAGTACTTACTTCCTCCTGCAGCTATTTGACACCAGATACTTCCCTATTTTTCCCAACATCTTCAGTTTGTACAAACGGAAATCTTCATTGCGTATCTCGCTCAGAAGATGTCTGTCAGTCAAAAGGAAAATAGAGCAGCCTTAAACATGACCACTCTTCCCCTGTCCCACACTAAAAATGAAACATGCCAGACCTCTGCCTAAGTCAAATTCACCAGAAACAGCTAGAAAATCCTGTCAAAACCAGACCCAAACTGCCTGCCTATTTCTCCACAGGCTTGATTCTTATAGCTCAGAGAATGCTCAGAAGAGTGCCTTATTCATATTCCTCTAAGTATGACCATTATTCAAAACAGGAGAGGCTTCTTCCAACTCCACAGGCTACTAAGCTTCAGAAATCCATGGCAAAAAAGAAGAGGAGGAAGGAAAGGGCAGAGAGCATTGTGAGAGGGCATTTTCTGTGTCTCTAGTTTTCCAGACTCTGGCATGTTCTCACCAATGCTACTGCCACATTACAGAGTATGTCAGGATAGTCTTTAAGAAACATAAAGGTTGCCTGATTTTATATAATTTATAGTAATCACTAGAAGCAATCAACTGAGAAAATACACTGGGAGTACTGGAAAGGTATATGGAACACTTGCTCTGCCCATGCTCCGAGCTGCTGTGTGAGCCAAACCTGAGCTATTATCTGCACCACACTCACTGTGCCACATGGCATCAAAACCAAACCAAAACCACAGGTGTCGGGCAGCTCATTAACATAGCTTCACCATTTCAGCTCAAAAGTTGAGCAAAGCAAGTTTCTGCCTGCCCAGAAAAAAAAAGTATAGATTTCACAGATGCTGGCAGCATGCTGACAAGCTCAAATGACTGAGTACCGACACTTCTGTGGTCCTGCAACAACCATGGACAAAATTAACAGGAGACTCCTACAACCAGGACTCCTCCACCCAGAATAAAAAAGAGAATACATATTTCTCCATTTAGACATGCTTAATTCTACAGCATTGGCACTCTTAGGGGTGATGATGGGTCTAAAACCAGGCCAGATAATTTATAAGACAAGTGACCACATTTTGTCACTGGCTGCCTTGCAAAGCTTCAAGAAAGCAGAACTGGAACAAGGACAAACTAACATTAGTGCACTTGTGGACTACCTTCTGGAAGTACGTCATACTTCGTACTGTGTGTATGCAGGAAAGGACTTGGAACCATTCTGAAAAATACATCACATCTTCAACAAAACCCACCCTGCTCCTCTATGCTTTGGCTGTTTGTGTCAAAGCAGCTGTTTACAGTCATTTACCTGTTGAAAGCCAAGTCTGATGCAGTCCACAAGACATGACAAGCAGCAGGAAGCCCATCACGACCAGCTCTCCCAATTTCTTGGTAATAGGATTCCATTTCCTTAGGGGCACCATAATGAATAACCATCCGGATATCTGCTTTATTGATGCCCATTCCAAATGCCACTGTGGCTACAACACACTACAAAACAGGAGTCACACACAGGAAGTTTTGAAATGAGCATCAGGAATATGCCTCGCTTAATGCTCATATACTTGGTGACAAGTTTTTGCCATGGACTCAAAGTTAAGCCTAAATTACAGTGGCTTCCAACTCACACTTAACTTTCACAGTACTACCATTAAGTCTGATTCTGGTCAGAGTATGAGCATAGGAATATAAACATGACAGTGATCATGTGTAGAGGCAAATCCTAGAGTGGTTTCAAGCAGTTATTCTCAAACAGCAAGCATAAAAACCTATCTATCTTGAAGGGTAACACAAGCGTAACTGTGCCTGCTTTGGAGGAAAGCAGTTCACAGAACTGATGATATTGTTCCAACTACCACTATTTTCCTCAGATGCCACACATTTTTAAGAGACTTACTGAAGGAATTTGAAGCATCAGCCAGGAATCCTATTACTGTCAGCTTAGACCAGCAATTTCTTTGCCCAGAATTGGAGACAAATGGCAAACATGCTGACATTCCCAAATTCTTTCCTCTGCCAGAAACTACAGTTATAAATAGGACCAAGTGGATTTAGTTTCCTACATACCTGAATTTCATCCCTCATGAACTGGTGATGGACCTCTCTCCTTTGCTTGATTCCCATACCAGCATGGTATGCACAACAGGCCACACTGAGTTTCATCAATTCAGACACAACCTGTTCGGTGGCCTTTCTGGAAGGGCAGTAGATGATAGTAGGCCCTTCAAACTCGTATGCAGAACTGCTGGAAGTAATAGCAACATGTAAAGACACAGAAGAAGCCACTCTTCCACTAAATGTCTGACTGGACCTAGTTGAAAAGGCAATATAGCAGTTGGAGATACAGAAATTTAAACATATTTTTAAATGGTCCACTCATACACAAATAGTCTGTCCTTTGGAAAAAAGGACTTGGAAGTTACTTAGCATCATAGAGTAGTTTAGGTTGGAAGGGACCTTAAAGCTCATCCAGTTCCAAGTCCCTGCCACGGGCAGGGACACCTTCCGCTAGACCAAGTCACTCCAAGCCCCATCCAGCCTGGCCTTGAACACTGCCAGGGATGGGGCAGCCACAGCTTCTCTGTGCAACCTGTGCCAGCACCTCACCACTCTCACAGGCAGCAACTTCTTCCTAAAATCTCATCTCAATCTCCCCTCTGTCAGTTTAGAGCCCTTCCCCCCCTTGCTCTGTCATTACAGGCTCTTGGAAAAAGTCCCTCTCCACATTTCTTGTGGGCCCCATTGGTACTCTTAAGTTTACCTTGCAAAGTGCACAAGATTTTGGTCTCTAGAAGGAGCAGAATAAGACCTCCCAATTTCCTTTTACAACTTTTACAGCTGGCACTTTTGAAAGGACTACATTTATGTAACTAGGTACAAATGAGCGATAAAAATTCATGTATATTGCTGTAAAGGCACACACTGTAGCTTGCAAGAAGCAGAACAGGACCAGAATGGGTACACCACTGGGTCTGCTAACAGAGAAGAACTGCAATTAGTTTTAAGGGAAAAAAAAAAAAAATAAAATCAATAAAAATCTTACCACGGATTTGTAGCAGACTCATGCACCTTTTGTGCAACACTTTATGGACAGTTACACACCAGCCAATTCATCATATTCATTCTAATTGCTACAGCAGGTCCTCTGAGGATCAAATAATGCCAAAAATCCTCAAGTAAGAAATATGCAGGCAGCAGGGGTCCATCACTCCTTGCCTTAAAAGCCTTACTTAACTTGGGAGTGGAGGGTGGGCACAAGTGATATCAGCATGATATCAGAGCCACACAATGGAGGAAGCCCAGGCTCTTCCTCACCAAATCAGATTAAGACTGCTACCAATTCTTAGTACACACTACCTTAACTCCAAAATACTCAATTATATCTGAACACAGGCTTAAATCCTTACCTTCCTTTCCTAATAAGGAACTGCTTCAAATCCCTAAGAATATTTCCACTTTGTTGTCCAACTTCCAAGTACAGATTAGGTCTGTCAAAACTGGTACATGTGACCTGGGGATTCTTCAGTTTCAGACAATTCACTATGTCCTCCCTAATCGATGGACTTGCGGTTGCAGTTAAAGCAACAATGGGAACCTACAGTGAAAAGTGAAAGTCTAAGACCTCTTGGATTTTTGTTTTAAACAAGGAAAATCATGAGTTAAAACTGAAATAAGATGTAAACAGGCACCTTTATCTGCTGACAATGACTGGATCAGCTCAGCTACTTGAAAAATATAGTTATTATTTAGCTTCCTAGACCTTTGGTCAACACTGTTCAGGAGAGCAGACAGGGACAGAAAGAACACTTGAAATACAAAGTTTTACTGTGAATGTGTGTTTTCTTTAGTTAAATCTTCAATTAGTCTACAGTCATTTTCTGAGATGGCTAGCTAAGTTTAGGGAACACAGGACAACACTTACAAGAAGAGTGTGGAACATTCAGATCTAAGTTTTTGAGGTTTTACTATAAATTCTTGGAGAATGTCTAGAAATCACAGTTGCATGTTCTTACAAGCCACTGAGCTAACCAGTTTAGAAAACATCCCTCAGTATTAAACCAGAAGCTTAGGGACATCATCTTAGACAGCACAGGAATCCAAAGTAATCTAATTTCCAGAAGTTTCTGGTAGTCCAGGTTCAGAATATCCTACATATAAGCATTTGGGGAAAAAAAAAAAAAACAACCAAAAAACCAAAAAAGCCCCCAAAACCACACAGCTCGGTCACTGACAGGGACCATATACACTCCAAACCAGCACAGTAAGTAAACCACAAGAGCAACATTAAGACTGTTATTTCAAACTACCATACAAAATGAGATAGTATTCTTCTCTTACATTGGAAATCAAATACATAAAAACCTCACCAATGGCAGAGCCTTCTTTAACGAGCCTAAAGTTCTAAAGGAATTTCTGAAGTCATGGCCCCACTCAGAAATGCAATGCGCTTCATCAACAGCTATAAGGGTAATACCTGATGGGAACAAAACCAGAGCATGGACACATTAACACCACAAACATGGGAATGGACTAAATACAAACACTCTATTCTGCTCAATCCCAAGCTTTCCTGAGAAGGCACCACCTGTCTGCTTAGTATTTGTTCCTATAATGCCTTCTGCTGTACCAACCCCTAGGTACATTTTTATAACGACCTCTGAAGCAAAAACAGCTAAAGAGCTTTTACAGAATCCCCCCAAACCATCTCTGCTTCTTTCTCCAAGCTTCAGACTTCCAACATCCCTCACCTTCCACTAGACCAGGTTGCTCCAAGCCCCATCCAACCTGACCTTGAACATGGCCAGCAATGAGGCAGCCACAGCTCCTCTGGGCACCCTGTGCCAGGACCCCACCACCTCTGTAGTATTTCACAACCAAGTTTCATTGTTACAGTGGGAGAAAGACTAGACATTAGAACACTTAAAAGGCTAAACATCTACTTATACACATTTCACTTCCTGTAACTGCAAGATCAGTTTTTTAGCACCTCTGCTCCCGGCAGCTTAATATTCCCCTTACTAAACATGCCACTTAAGTGATTTGTTAGTTTTTCCATCAGTAACAGGATCTGCTGACACCATTTACTGGTAGCTACTACAGTAACCTTTGAACCCACTAGCAGTAAGAAATTGGTGAAAAGCATTTAAGTATTATAAAAAAGATTAAAAATATTTAGGCATTTAAGCCGCCTGCCAGCTCAACCACAACTTACTAATAGTTTGACCAACCCTTACCCCCAACTTACCAATAGTTTGATCAAGCTCCTGAAGTAAGTCCAAGTTCCCTGAACAAAACTCTGGAGTCATATATATGACTCTGTACTGCCCCCTGAAACATCAAGAAAATACATTGTCACAGAAGGAAAACCCCCAGACAACTCAAAAAAAACAAAATCATGATTGTCTAGAAGATGTAAATGAACAGAAGTACAGACTTCAGGATAGGAGCAAGATCAAGGAAATGAAGACCACAGAAAGCACTCCCGAATAATAGGAAGGCAAGGCAGTAACAGTAGGACAGGAAAACCAGCAGTGATTTACAAGGAGGGACTGTTGTGATGATTTGGTGACAAATACAGGTCTAAATCTTGTATGTGTGAAACTGTGTAGAAATCCTAATATAAAGCTGAGTCAACAAGCCCCATCTCCCCAGCCATGGGCTACAGACTCACACACACTCAGGCTGGGTGGATGCAAGCAGTATCACTGACTGCCACATTGTAGGTCTGAGCCAGAAGCAAGAGTTTCAGTGATAATGGATTAGGGAGACATCCTACCTCTCAAACATACCTACATCAGAACCTGCAGTTCTAGAAAGCTTAGCTCAGACTTACCCTTTGATGCATTCTTTGATGTTTTTTGACTGAGCTGAACCAAGTAAGCAAGCTGGAATACCTGACATGCTGCAGAAATAAAGATGCACAGTCACCAACAGATTTACTCCCAACACTTTCTGCCTTAGCATTCAGCCTATGCCAGCACATCATAAAAGAAGTCCAAGCTGTGAGGCCACAAACTACTTTCTTCAACAGATCTTTGTGGGAAAAACCTGTTGAAAAAGCTGGATTCATCACTGGCTATTCCTGCCACCCAAATACTCTTTTGCTTCCCCTCCAGCTGTCACCGACACATACACAATTCATTAGTGCAATAAGGAATCGGAGAAATAAAGACCACTCCCCTTGCACAAGTTTACTAATAAACGTCCAAAAGAAGAAAATACAGTAAACACATTTTCCTCATTACCTTACCCAGTTCACCACATTGCCTTACTAGTTGGCAATTTTTTTGCCTTGTCTTCCACTCTTTTGTGAGCTACTGGTGCTGCATTTGCTCATTTTCAATCTGAAGGCTGCTTTTTAATGACATATTCAGTAACTACATTTACCAGCTTAGCCACCTGATATTTGACCTTTCAGGACCCTGCAATGCCCGTCTTCTTAACTTAATGATTTACAGCATTTTTATTCCAGTCCTTTGTTTTGATAGCTTCTCCCCTCTCATTCCTTTCAGTCCCTGGCAGAACTGCACCCAGACTGCTAGACAAATTACTGAACTGCATTAGGTTGTGGAAATTCAATCTCCTTGGCCTTCAGAGTAAAAGACCTGCTGAGAAGGTAGTGGATAAACCCTTTCCACTGAGAAAAAAAGTATAAAAGCCAAAGAAGCAGCTGAATACATACAGACACCCTGCTGATTAATAATCAGCCTAGAAGCTGGCTACACAGCCAGCTTAGGCTGCCCAGCCATTCATCCACACATAGTCATGATGTGCAGCAGAAAATACCACACATCATTTATGTTCCTTGAAAGTAATCTTCATATCCTCTCTTTCACAAAAGACCTGCTCTTTCCAAGGAATGAACTAGACAATTCAGTGCGATTACCACATCTTAAATGAAAAAGTGTCAGAAGTGAATAGCCGTTATAACAGAAAGCAAGTGCACGCAAAGGAAGCATTTTCAGGTCAAGAGAAACCTATCTGATTTTAATACACCACCTATAACTGCTCATGTAAGAGCAATTCAGGGTCACCCACTAGTTCGCCCCCATCAGACCTTAAAAGAAGCAAAGAGGCCAGGTGTTAGGAGACCTACTACACCATTCATCTTCAAAGCCTGTGCCATAACATTGAACTGAATGGCCTACAGCTTCCAGCTGCAGGTTGCTTAGATGTTACTTCTCCAACACAAGGAAGCCCTACCAAATTTTGAGGTAACTCTCAGAGGCTGAAATAGCCTGTGAAGCTCCCTCATCAGTTCAGTCTTCACAAAAAGGGGCCTATGAATCCTGAAGTATGTGAGAAGGATCCACATTCAGGAACAACCCACCAGCACAGATCCTTTGCAAATCCACCCTACCATTCACATAACTGGCAAATCCAGTGATCCTAGACTGCTTACACAGTTTGTGCATGTCCCGTGAGAAACACATGCTTTACAGCTGACGCACAGCTTTGCTGTAGGAACCTGCAACCTTAAACACCAAGAAATACCACAAAGCAGAGTCCACTGGTTTCCACTGGCAATTCAAGAGCAGCTTCTTAGCACTACTTACATCAACTGCAGCACCTGGTCCTCCATCAAGGAGATAAGAGGGCAGATGACAATTCCCACAAGTTCAGTGTAAACAGGAGGAAACTGGTAGCACAAGCTTTTTCCATAGCCTTAAAGAAAAGCAGACATGAGACATCATTCTTTCTATGCAGCTACTGCATACAGCTGTACGAGACAATTTTAACACCCTGTTGAGCCCTAAAACAATAATCATAAAATGGTTAGAGTTGGAAGAAAGCTTAAAGATCATCTCTTTCCAACACCATTGACAAAGGCAGGGATACCTTCTAAGAAGTGATGTTTGTTCTGCTAGTACAGGAATAAAGTTGCAACATAAATAAGGTCAGCATCCATCTGATACCCTTCTCTACACCATCAGTGACAACAACTAGGGCAGAAAAACAAGTAGCTAGCACAGCTAGCTCAGACTTAGTGTCTCAATCAGGGCACCCTGCTCATGTGAGCCACGTGGACAGTCTCCAAGTTAGAGTTCTACTCTCCTCAAAAAGGAAAAGATGTTTCACTGCTTCTTAGGATGTAAAGTTAACTTACCAGTTGCCATGACAACAAGATTATCTCTTCTGTCTTCTAGAAGAGAATTGATCACTTTCCATTGGACCCTTTTAATTAAACAAAAGGGAATATTTTATTTTTGCTACCAAACTTAACATGGCAGTTTTGTTAAACTGAATATTCAGTTGAATTTCAGGTTGAAGAAACCCTTCCAGCTGCCTTATAGCATGTTGTCTTTGCAGGCTGCAAACACTCAAACATTCCAACTGCTGCAGGCAGTCCCCCCCACTGCTACAGTTATATTCAACATGACCTCAATTTTGCCAACCCTTCCATGGTCTTGCAATTGTACATAACTGTGAAGCCAATTTAAAAACTCCCCCTGCCCCCAGTTCCAAAAGCTTACCAAATACTGAGTAAACAGTTTCCCCCTGCCCAAGTGCTGCTCTTAGGCTGTTTCTTGCACAGAACACATTCTGCCACCAGTCATCCAGGAAGATTTCATCCCATTCCGATTGAGCTTCATTGTAACAGCAATGCTCAAGCACCGAGGCACATGGTACACTCATATTATGCTACGCAAGACAGCTAGAAGTTTGTCTGTCCTGAATTAGAACCATATAAAGGATAACTAGACTATGAAAGCTTATCACACAGGCAACAACATCTGTGCAGTTTGTGGCTTGCTCTTTAAAGACTGAAATAGACCTGGTTCAATAACGCCTCAATCACAGAGGATGTGCCATCAGCAAAAGTCAAGAAGCTCATAGTCTACTATGAGATTACGGTATTGTACTTAACACTCCGTAAGATTTATCTTGACATACTGTTGTGGCAAAGGCAGCTTTTCTTGTACTAGAGATTTTGTATAGGTCTCAGCTTGTTAGTAATTTTTCAAGTAATAAGAAAATCAGTTGAAATAAGGAGGGGGAAAAAATGAACCTTGGAGTTTACGTTTTAACAGAAAATATACTTACGGCTTAAAAGAAGAATGTCCAAAATATGTCTTCAGACAGGTGATGTGTCTTTCACTAGGTAGTGGCAGCAATGGATCTTTAGTGGGAGAGAAGATAGAAAGTTCCATTTGGAATGAAATTTTAAGAAGATGAAGCACTATCTTGACAAACAACAGTCTGCTCAAGATTAGTGATGCCTGCCTGGGTGCCAGGATTTAAGTAAATCCGGTGAAAAGAGACGTCAAACTCTGAAGATACTTACTGGCTAGAATAAAGGATTAAGAAAGCAAACGGGCTCCCCAGCGACCCTCCATGAAGAGGAGAACATATTGCTTCATTATTAATTTAATAAAAGCGATAAGTATTGTAACGTGTAGCTGCATTATTTGGACATATTTGGACACGATACTTGAGATGTTTTACTAGGCAAGCATTCAACAAAGACTCTACTGAAGTTACACTGAGGAACACAACACTGCAAGTTGCTAACAAATTCATGGTCCAAAAGCTCAAGGGGATCCTGATTCTGCTGTGAGCACTGAAGAAACATATTCAAGACCTGTTGAAATATATAGTTAACATTCAGCAGTAGAAAGCATGACATTTCCACCTAGTTTTTGTCTGTTGCGCAAGCTCACATTCCCTGTAATAGCTTATCTGACTGCTGTTTAGAGAAATGAACTGAACAAGAAAGAATAATGCATCTGTCCACAACTAGCAGCCCATGGTCTTCTTAAAAGCAGAAAGCAGGCCTTTTCCTGGCCTGGTCTAACTTACATAACCAGGAAGGAAGCTTGCATACAGGAATACTCGAACAAAAAACAAGCTTTATTTCACCTCACATTTCAGCCTCTGTTCCTCATTTCCTTTGTCCCCAAAGGGCCAGCTCCAAAGCACTTAGTCAAGATCAAGTCCAAGCCAGAATTTCCTAACAATTCTACCACAAAGCAACAGAGGAACAACAAAAATAAATCACGTAGAAAGGTACCGTCTTCCCTTCTGCTGTGTTCCAAATCATTCCCTTCAGTTCTGTATGGCCTCCATGTCCTGTAACGGTTTTACTCCCATCAAGCATACATAACATCTACCTATTATGGCAGGGTTCAACTATGTTTTGCCGAGGACACCTTCACATTTTCATCCTGACACACAGACAAGCACCTTTCAAAACCCAGATGAGGTCCAATTTTTGCTTTAAGAAACCAAGCACAAAATGTGCATGCCCTTCCACATCTGCTTGACAGTAGATTTTTTTTATTTAATCATGCATTATAATTTAAAACATACCCGAACATTCCTCCTCTTGTTCCTCAACACCTTCATCTTCATCACCATCACCATCTAGTGAAATGTTCAACTCTGTTTCAGGACTTCTCCCAGGTTTATTGGACTCTCTTCCACTTAAAGCTCCTTCAGCATCATCTACATCTTCTAATGACTAAGAATCAGGAGAAAAAGTTGTTTCGGAGCATGAAAGGCAGATAACAATGCACGTCTGAGGTAATATGATATAGGGACATACGAGTTTCAAATTGCTTGTGACATAACTTAGATCTATCAACACACAGCATACAGAAAAGCATAGTGGTCAAACTACTTTATCAGTAGCATGCAAATTCCAAGAGCCATTTCCTGGATACCAATAACACAGCTTTTGTCTCTTCACTGCAAAAAGGTCTTTGAAGTTTTGAAGACACTAAAATCTGTTGTTTGAGAAAATCAACAGTTGTATTTTTTACTTAAGCAGATGAAGGCACACATTTGATTGAGGCTAGTAAAAAAGCAGAAAGGATGGCATCCCAATGTCATGTTACACTCATGGTACTCTAACAAACACTAAGAAAACATCTTCTATTCAAGTTAATGTTTTTGACAAAAACTGCATTTACAGGAGATTGACATGCAGCATTAAGAGCCATCTAGATGAGACCTGGTGCTTCCCCAGGAGCAAAATCATATCCACCCCCCCCCCCCCCCCCATGACCTTTGAGTCTTGCATCCTAGCAAGCTCTAAGAAACACACTTGACTACACATGTGTACAAGCACACAAACACATACAACTGCTCTGGTGCAAACATTCAGTCATTTGACTCCAAACACATATATTATTCTGGAGAATCTGGAGAAAAGCCAGGGTAAAGAAAAATAAGACTCAGTATCTTCTTTTCAGGAAATCGAAGTTATACCACTAAAATCACATGAAGAAGCCTGCAAAACACGGCTACAAAACAATTTGACCTACAGCCCAGGTTAGCAGCACCTGTAGCACACGAACTGCCCTGTCAGCTCAACCACTTGGACAAAGGCCTGAATGCATGACAAGTGCAGCAAGACCAGTTTCTACACAAGCAGAGCAAGTGAGTGGATCAGTCCAAACTGGTATAGTCAAGATACAGCAGAACACAAATGATACTGCAGTCTAACACTAGTAAACTGAATTCTTCACATATCCACATGTTCATCTGTCTTCTGTCCACCTCCTATAAGCAGAACAATTTTGCTTCATATCCCCTTCCCTGAACTACACTATACTCCACTGTGACCCAAGAGCATTATCATTACCAGGAAAATTAAAACCAAACCCCTGAGGCACTCACTTTAAGCATCTCCATTTCCAGTTCTTCATCACTTTCAATGACACAGGAAATATTTTGCTCATTGTCTGTGGAGCACACCTCCTAAGAAAAAATAAATTATTTTATTCTTATCAGCAAAGTTATTTCTATTTTACTCACAACCTCTCAACCTTCTGTAGATACCGTACACAATTTCTCTGTATGGTTTTACTTCTCACCAAACTAAGCACAGTATTAGTCTCTGAAGCATGCCCATAAAAAAAAATAAATTAGAAAAATATTACAATGTAACAATGCCCTGGAGGAAGAGACAAAACCAGTAGTATCATCAGGTGTGAAACACTCGGAATGTAAGAAAATCAGAATGTGATTTAAGAGGCACCAGTCTACATTCAGCAACCACGAGGATTGCTGTTTACAGATCCTTTACAGAAAGATCTGCTTTTTATTCATGACCAAGTCAGAGAGCTCAAGTGCAGAATTTCTCTCCATCCTGCCAGAAATTATTTGATAGCATATTAGCAACTGAAAGAGGAAAACTAATTAGATGATCTAGAGCTTCTGTACTCAGAATCCTTCCAAGCCCCATGACTGAAGAGCAGCTCAGTGCTTGACTACCCCCACAGGTATTTTCCAGACTGAGCCCTTCTCCCAGCCCTGTAATAGTCTCTCAGGAATAGAACTGTTAAAAATCTTGGGGGAATTAAGGACGAGATCACTTCCCCTGCATGGGTGTCCATGATTAATGAAGGCTTTTCCTATTACCTCAGCTGCAGCTTCCTTGGCAAATTCTTCTGCAGCCTGACATTCCAAGACCTGAAGTTCCTGCTCAGTAATGTCTAGTGATATGAAGTCCTCTCTGTACACTTTGTCCTTAGAGCTGGCTGCTGCAGCCCCATCTTCTACAGCGCCGCCTCTCTCTGCCTCTTCAAGATGTTCCTCCCAGAAGCCAGCTAGGGTAGCATCAGAGCAGATGCTGAAGTCACCTTCAAGTTGTTTAGCTAATTCAAGCATTTCAACTTTGTGTGCTTCAACATTTGCTGACTCCGCTTCAAGATTTACTGGGCTTCTGCCAGAGCTCTTCTTCAGTACAGAAGGACAACCTGAACCAAACAGCATGCTTCTTAGGGCAGTTACATTCTCCGATATGTCAGCTATTATTTCTGCAGCCCTAGAAAGTAAAACAAGAGAGCTAAACCAAAATGATAAAAGCAGTTACTACACATCTCAGGCACAAGCAGAACCTGAGTGTTCTACCCTGTTTCTCCAGTCTGTCCAAAGCTTCTCTCATATCACTGGCATTCCACATCTGTGATGATTAAATTTCTTTACACTGAAGACTATCTGTAAAGACCCTCTGAAAACACTGTTTGTGGTACTGCCCCCACACTTACATCAAGCCTCCAGGCTTCTAGCAGTCAGTCATGTGAGAATCCTGACATATTTATGAAAGGTCTTGCTGTGCATTTCAGCAAGAAGTAACAGATTCAGCCAAGTTCAGTGTCAAACCCATTCCAATTAGACCAGTGAAAACTTCTGTTCCTACATATAAAGACAACGTTTTCCCACCAAGTGTAGAATGCTTTTACTTGGAAAAAGAGATACTGCTGCTAACAACCATGCATTTTGTTGCGTGAAACCTCAGGGATCAAGACCAAAACATTTTTATTATAGGTAAAGGAGAGACAAGCTGGCAAAAATCTAACCTCTGCACATTTTCAAGTTGCCCAGAAGAGTCAGGGATGCAAGAAGCCAGGTCTGTTATTTCGGCAGCTAGTGAAGTCAAGTGCTCCTTCACACCCATGTCATCTGTAAGAAGTACCATCAGAGTTATTTCACAACAGGTGAGGTCTAACAGCTATATGCAAACAAATTCTATTCAAGTAATTCCAGTTCTACAAGATGTAGAGCTGAAAAGACAGCCTTCTCCAGTGCTTCAATGACAAGTACACACAATGAGGCCAAGCATTTCTTCCAGTGGCTGGTTACACATGCTCAGGTAAAAAGGATATACAACTGGACCACTGCTAAGTGATCCTTCCTCAGTATCTGCTCCAGCTTCCAGGAAAAAGAGCTGCTAACACAGATATGCTGACTAAAACAAACTCAAAAATTTATACCTAATATTAAGATAGTACTGCCACTTCTGGCTGATAGGAAAGTAAAACTCAGCCAGTACAAAATGGAAATACACTTCTCACCTCTTTTTCCAACCATAAGCTACATGCAATCCATAACTTTGCTTATGATGCATGAACTGAACAAGTACTGAGACTTCCAAGCCACTTTTCTAATCAAGTAAATAATGCTAAGCTGCTCTATAAATTTGGGTCCTATTAATACACCTCAAGAAAAGCAGTTCTTCATAACATGCTTTCTTTCTCATGTCTTACCTCTTTTTGAGCTAGATATTTGTCCCTGCATCAGCAAAATTGGTATTAACTCACTGAAGTGTTTCCATATACAAACTGGAATAACAACAGGAATTCTTACCACCTCTATATACAGCAGAAACAAACAACATAGCAAGACTGCATTCCTACATGATGATGGAACATACACAGTATGGTAAACGAGAACATCTGAGAACCTTTACAGTCTGTTATTTCTCTGATAGCACTCACCAAGAAACCAGACAATCCTAACAAAGATACTATGAAAAAAAATCTATTGGCAAATAGAATATTTCACTGTACATTGAATGAACTCCTTATGCTTGGAAGTATGATTTACCTCTTCTTCCACAAAGTACTTTCTGGTCACTGTTATTCATATTTTTCAGTTTTTCATAAATGATAAAACCAGCCTGCAAAATAATAAGAAAAAATACCACTCAGTACTCTGCATCATCTCAGATGAAGCAAAAACAATAAACAAGAATTAACAGAGCAAACTGTGGCTTGAATACATTCTGAACATCCCCTCCTGATTTGTTGGTACATGCCACACAACCACTGATGGGCTGTCTTACTGCACTGTTCATCACAACCAGGTAATATTTTACAGAATGCTTCACAAAAGGCCTGACTAAGGATCCATATTGTAGCAGAAACTCTTATCTAGACCCCAGCACAGTTATCTTACCAAGTTAACTGCAGAGAGCTCCAAGTACTCAGCTCCCGGTTTCACCATCTGCTCCACTTCATGCAGATTTAATGTAGTGCTCCAAGAGAATAGCTATGAACCTACTAAGATAGATTCTGTGTGCTTAATGTTTCTCTTGATACGAAGAGTAAGTTCTAACAGGAAAATGCAGCCTAAATCCAGGAATGTGCTAATTAGGCTATCCATGTTAACAAGAGCATCTTAAAGAGGGAAGAAACAAGTGACTGCCTTGTGTTTTCTTGTGAGGCTCCAAGAGGCAAGTGAGGTGAACAGAGCATAGCAAGAAGGAGGCACTGCCTGGAAAAATGCTGGTTACAGCAGCGGCACCAGGCACCAAAAAAAAAAAAAAAAAAAAAAAAACAACAACAACAATAAAAAAAAAAAAAAAAAAGAAGAGAAAAAAAAAGAGTTCCTTTCCTTACTGGGTTGGGTCTTAACAGGTGCTAAACTAGAAAATGTGCAAACTTTCCTGAGTCAGAACAAAAACCAGAGACCTCTGTCCCACTTTCCTTCCACTGTCTAACCTCAACACAGAAATAAAAGCCTGAAGGTACTTTATTTTGCTGCCATAAAAAATCATCTTGTCCCAGGAAGCAGGCAGCACCCAGCAGCACAGTGGTAAACCCCCTTCACAGAACTGCAGGAAAACAATGCTCTTTCTGAAACTGAGGCAGCAGACACTTCTACAGAGCTACAGAAATCCACATCCAACTACATTACTCTTTCTGGTAATCCATACTGCTTCTGCTACATTAGCCACTAGAGGAGGTTGTATTTCTTCCTAGTTGCTTATTAATTTTATCTCACCTATTATATTTAGAAGGATTTTGATTCACAACCTGCTCAAGAAAGATGAGCAAAACCCCCAGCAGAAAACACAGCCAAAATTGCTAACCAGCCACAGTTAATACCTGCAGAAAAGGGAACCAAAAAGTAATTACCCACTCTTCACTTCCATAAGTGATTATTGCATGTAAATACACACCAGACATGTTACACTCATGTGGGATAATCATACTACAAGCATTTAGGCTTTCTCCATAAAGATATATATAAAATTCACCCAATGGCTCCATCAAAACTCACTTCCCTGAAGTGATAACTTGAAGCGAGTCCAAATGGACAGACATCCCTCAGGAGGATTGTTGGTGCCTGGGTAACTTGGCACATTCAAAGCACAGCAAAACTTCCAGGAGCTCTGCTTCCTGGAAAAACTTCAATAAAAAGGCAAATCTTGGAACACCATGAAACATTTAGAGGTAAGGACCCCATGGGAGTCCCAAGGCTGCTGTGGAATGGTGTTTCTTTCTTCCATCTACGTTCAATTTTCTATGTGAAGCATTCATCACAATATCCTCTTTCAGTGACTCAGGTAATAAAACAGGCTAGCGTAGGTACAAGCAGCACCATCTTCAACAGAGAAGACATTATGACACTCAGGATGAACACTGAGGTTTAAAAACCTGAGATAAGAAACTAGACAGCAACATATCTGGTGGCATTTCCACCTTTAAGCATCCCATATCCACAGCAGACCTCATGGTCTTCCTACGTTCACTGTGTTCTACAGCAGAAAGCCATTAAAAACTGCAGCTAACAGCATGCTAGAGAAGACTTAACATGAGTAGAACAGTGATCTCTCCTTGTACGTACATAGGCATCTGTGGCTGCGTACAATTTTTGCTCCTCGTTGAGTGGAAACTCTTTCCAGTTACTACAGCGAACAGACTTATCCTTCAAAAGTTGCTTGCCAAAAAGGTGTTTTACCAGGCCATTTAGACTCCAGATCTCCTTACACCTCAGCTGGGGAAAGAAAACAAACAAACAAAAGGACTTTTTTAAAGGAGGAAACAATTGACCCAACAGAGTGTATTCCTCAAAGCAGTAAAGTGTACTTAATCCCTCCTTAGAAGCAAAGAGCTCTGGGTTAGTCAGCACAAACTAGTTTCTGAAAGCAGTAACTGTTTCTCCAGGCTTAAATCTTTTCTCATCACATTAAAAGGTAGTTTAGCCATTTGCAAGCTGTACTTCCCTGCCCTGAAACTGTATTGCTAGAGGACAGAGCTACATTATCAAGCTGGAAAAATTGCATTAGGGCCAGGTGAGTCCACACAATGTGAGGTGGTACTCTAATGCTACCAAAAATATCTGTACAATGTAGTCTTCAGTTGATAAAGCCATAGACTTAAACAGTAACCCCCCTTTCCTCCAGGATTTTTCTATTATTTCCCTTTTCAAGTCAGAGAAATTCCATATCCAACACTAGGAAATTATTTAATATAAACACAGGAGTAATCAAGTCTTCCTGTGTTTTGTCATCTTCCGCAAGTCTGAAACCGAGCACAAGCCAGAGCATGCCATTTAGACCATGCTAGCCACTACTCATCATGCTGCGAAGCAGCAGTGCATCAGAAGTCTCTAGAAGTCACCCCACCACACTGCAGTTTTCAATTGCTTTTGTAATCCTAATTGTCATCCACAGTTGCCACATGCAATTGTCTTAACAGCCAGTTTGGGAAACTTCCCTTCAGACCCTGAGGATTCAAGACTCACAGGCACAGCTCTCCACTCTTCCAGCTTGCAACTAGTTGCAAAACATGCAGAACTGCAGCATTATCAACTCATTCCTTTAAACCTAGTCTAAAAAAAATCCCAACCAACTTCTAATTTTAGGTTCCCGCAGCCCTTCCCCCTGCATTCTGCCATTACATATAACCCTATTTTGTTCTCTCAAGCTTCTCTTTCAAGTTTATTTTTGGTTTGTTTTCTCTTCACCAGAAGATCACGTTGCTCATCTTCATAACAAATTATCTGGGAGTCCAACACTGGGATTAAAAAGGGTGAGGGAACTGAACTGAGGAAACGCCTAGTCTGAAAATAAACAGCTCCTATTGCTCAAGCAAAACAGTTTAATTTGTAAAACTCCCAAGCCGCTAGGAATTGAAGCTCCAGGTTTCAATTTCAATTTCAACTCCAGTGCTCATAAAGAGAGCACTGCCTCAAATGCTGATGATACATTACATAGCTATGATTTAATTACACAGGGCACATAAAGCACATAACAGAGAAAGGTATAAGTAGTGTTATTTCTGGGCATAAATCTGTCCTCCACCAAGAAACTACAACTGCTGCTACCATCCTACCAAACAAAATATGCACAGAAGGAAAGAAAAGTACATGGAAAAGCCGAGTACAGGTGAGGAAAAGCCTTGCATATACCAAAAGAGAAGCTTTAAGGTACATGTTAGAAATAAGCATGACAGTGTGATTTGGAAGGTAATGAGCCTTTTCCTCACTTCCTTATTAAGATAGTGTTTGGAACACTCTACATGGAATGCTACCTAACCAAAATCCAACTAATATGAATTTCAGGGTGCACCAAACTCAACACTAGTTCTGAACAACAGGCCATGAGGCTCTGGAACCTGCACCCACATGAGAGCAGAGGCAACACCAACTTCAGAGTCATGACGAGTCTATGAAAGATATTTCATAGAATCACAGCAGGGTTTGGTTTGGAAAGGACATTAAAGATCATCCAATGCCAACCCCCTGTCTTAGGCAAGGAAACCTTCCACTAGACCAGGTTGCTGAAAGCCCTGTCCACTTATTTCTAGGGCCCTATCTTATGTGGCCAACAACTCCACATGAAGGACTTGAAGGAAGACCTTGGTGCTTGAAGGACTTGAAAGACCACCAAGCAAGCCATGGCACAAGAACTGCCTCCCTTTGAACAGGCATCAGTCTTCACTGCCTCCACAGCATTTCTCACATCTTAAAGGTTCAGCCATTGCTGGGATAATCACATCATTGCCATCAGAACCCTGACTAGACATAATCTAGTACTAAGGAGTACAGAAAATGCATCTGCAGCTGAACTACCTTTGTAAACATAAGAGTTGAACAGGCAGGACAAATATTCACTAAGAGCTAGTTCACTGAAAGGCAGTACTCAGTTTTGTGGAATTCCTTGAGAGTTCTTTATAAACTTATTTTAAGTTACAACACATGCCTGCTTTTTTCTATAGAACATGTCTGCTATTAGAATTGAGCTCCATTATGAAGCCAAGGAAGCCTCCTTTTGTGTAGCACAATAAAAAGATCCCTTCCCACAACAAAAGGGTTTTAAGTTTTACCTTCTCATTAGCAACGTCAGCCAGCTCCACAAAGCTCTTCAGTTTGATTTCAAAGTCACTCATCAGCTTCCACTGATCTCCCTCAACTCCTACGCCAACCTTTTTAATTGTTTCATCTTCGAGCAGTCTTTTGAGTCCCTTGGGAAAACCTAAAAATAGATGAAGCCCAAACACGAGAAAATAAGTACTGGAAGATGCCAGAAAGTCTAAAGGAAATGACAAAATCCTAGCAAAAGAGACATCTGCAAAAAAAATGTGCTTTTAAAGGAAAAGCCCCAAAGTTGCTGTTTAAGTGACTGCTTGCACTCTCGAATTACTACAAACACCAAATGGTTATAATGTATTATCTGCAGACAAGCAGAAATGAAACACTGGAAATATATACAAATTCATTCTGCATTTAAAAACAAATCAGTAAGAAATTTAACAACCTTGTTTTGTCTTGGTGATCACTATATCACATAACAAAAAGGCAACCTCTAGCTGAGAAAGACTTCACAGATTTGGATGCTCATGAAACAAGACACAACAACTTTAGCTTTACACTGAATTCCTTCCAGTTTTTGCTATTTCTCATTCCTGGGAAACCATTTGAACCAGAAGCATGGGAAATGACCAGAAAAAGAGATTCTGTGTAAAGACAGTGCTAACACTGGGCTGGTCCAACAGTAGCATTTGGAAAACAGAACTGGCCATGCAGATCCTCTGCCAAGCCCAGATAAGTCTTTTCTTTTTTGTAAGAAAGAAAGATATTCATGGATGTACACAGATACGAAGTATTGTATTTTGATTTATCCCTAACTTACGGCACCACAGTCCTGGATCAAAGGCCATTTTCAAGTTTACAGGACTGAATAAAAGCACATACCTTCCATATCTGGTTTTCTACAGAAGGCAACAACCATAGACCCTTCATACATGAACCAAAACTTTTTGTTTTTTTTCTCCCCACAGTGTTTGATTCCATTTAAACTTATGAGCATCTTAAATACATACCTTGAGAAACCCACAGCTGAATACCCTGAATGAGTCTCAAGTAATTCTAGTACCTACAAACATATACTACTTAATATCTGGCTTGGTTCTCATTTCAAATTCCACCTTTTAACTACTGTAATGTGTTTATACACTTCAACAATCACTTTGCATGGCTGATTTTATTTCATACGTGACTATCTCCACACTTTCATGGCCACCACCGACACACAACACAGACATCTTTGCAACTATAGCCACAATCAGCTACGCTGTGAAGTTCCAGGTCCATTTAAAAATTAGAGAATTACTCCTCTGTGGAGGAGACAGACAGTTGAGCTGACCAAAAGCTTGCAACACACACAGCTGACTTAGGGAAGAAAGGATTTTCACTAAAGAATATAATCATGAAAACCTTCAAGGATGGCAACTTCCCAGCAAAGGGCATGTCCCCCATTTCTACCACCTAATTTCTAGAAAAGTGACTGCACAAACTAAAAAAGTCTAAGTTCCAGAACTGTACAGAGACTAAACCCTGAGAAACAGGCCACATTTTCTTGAAAGTCTGTAGGAAAAAAAACGACGACATGGAAAATTATCCAGAATCTTCCTGATAAATAGATGCAGTTTTTTCCTTTATACACAGTTCAAAAACTCTCCACTGTCTTCTTCCTGCAGAAAGAAGCATTTCTCCCCCATTACCCCCCCAAAATGGTGGGTCTTACCCAACTGGCTAATCCTCCTAACATCTATGTTTCTGTAGATCAAATATATTCTGCATAATAAGCAGAAATTGGCTGTGGTTCTTGCAAAAAGGTTGACATCTCCATTCAAAACACACCTCCCACTGGCAAGAGCAGAAATTTTAGGAAGTGATTCAGGAGGAAACACCATCTTCTGCTGTAACACACAGTAGCCCGCATGCAGCCGTACTCAGCATTTACACACAAACATCTTCACTTACAGAATCAAAAGCATTTCAGCCCTTGATGATTCTTCCTCCCTTAGCTTTCTTTCCTCAGATCTTTTTCTTTTGTGCCTTTTGTACCTTTCTGCCTCCCGGATTGAATAACCTCCAGCAATTAAATTTTCCACCTCATTTGCTATAAATGACAAAGGATTGAACACCAACATTAAAACTATCACCATTATAGTTCAGCATGCACACCCCAGGGAAATCAGAGACATCCTGCAGGCATAGTTTCAATCTAACATTCAAACCAAAGGTTATAAAATTGCAGCCTCCTTCCCTCATTCCCACAATCCCTATTTGGAAAGCTTGTATTCACATCTATAATGAATTCAGACTCCACTGAGCATAAACCCCTTCTCTTCCCACAGCTGCATCTCACCAGGCATCCATCCAGTGTTCTTTCTGATAACCAGTGTCACAAAACACAGGTATTAGGAACAACATAGCACAATGGTCACCATGTTTGAGGAGTTTTATTATTAAAGCCAAACTAAGAAGAAACACAGCCTGCTACATTTAGATTCCATGTTTATTTTGACATTAAACAGAAAGCTCTTCCTATGAGCAGGGAATTAAATTTTGAAAGCTAAACTCAAATCTTCTTTCCCAAACAGAAAATTAATATTCAAGTAACATAATTTTGCCCTGTTCAGACCCTAAGATGCTGTATGCCAGCACACAGGGCAAGACTTGGCCTAAGATCCACTTAATATCAGCAATACTCAAAGAATAAGCCCATTTATTATAGGCAGGAAAGAGAAAGATGGATTTTTACTATCTAGCATAGCATGAAATATTGGCTATTGCTCAAAGGATAAGTTCAAACTTAATCACAGCAAACAGAAGGCAGGTCATGCCCTAACAAATAAGAAAGAAAGAAGATACAGTACCTGACATGGAAGAGATGTGGAACAAGTAACACTTCTCCTCAGATATACATATCTGGATTACTGCTATTTTGGCCATTTTTCCTTTAGTATATGATGGTGGCCATTCAATATCAAATCCAACAGCAGACCCATCTGATAAACTCTGCCTAAAAAGAAACAGATACTCTTCATGTTCTTCTAGCTGTATTTAAACTATCAGGCTCAAATCATCTTATATTAAAAAAACAGTTAAGAGCTAGCACATCCCCTTTCACATGTACAGGACATGGAAACCATTTCAAAATCAAGACCATAAGGCTTGCGAAATTCCTGCTGCTCCCAAAAGCTTCAAGAAACATCAAACTGTAGCAGATCTTATCTCATGCAAACAGTAGCATAGCAAGCTGTGGAAGATTAACCAAGGCTGGACACCAGACACCCCCTTAAGACACTATATTTCTTCCCGCCTGAGCTGGACAGGGGAGAGGAAATATAATGAAAGGCTCATGGGTTGAGGTAAGGACAGGGAGGGATCACTCGCCAATTACCATCATGGGCAAAACAGACTTGACTTGGGGAAATTAGTTTACTTAATCACCAAGTAAATCAGAGTAGGATAATGAGAAATAAAACCAAATCTTAGCACACCTTCCCCTCACCCCTTCCTTCTGCCCAGGCTCAACTTCATCTCCAAATTCTCTACCTCCTATCCATCAGTGGCATAGGGGGAGGGGGAATGGGGATTGCAGTCAGTTCATCACAGTGCCTCTGTGCTCCTTCCTCCACAGGGGAGGACTCCTCACACTCCTCCTTTGCTCCAGCATGGGGTACCTCCCACAGGAGACAGTTTTTCCGTGAACTTCTCCAGCATGAGTCCCACAGGCTGCAGGTCTTCATGAATGCCCCAGCCTGGGTCCATTCCATGGATGCAGTCCTTCAGGAACAGGCTGCTTCAGTGTGAGTCCCTTTCATGGGACACAGCCCTTCAGGAACAGACTGCTCCAGGCTGGATCCCTTTCATGGGGTACAGTCCTTCAGAAACAGGCTGCCTCAGCCTCAGTCTTGCCAGGAGCCTGCTCCAGCATGGGCTTTCCACAGGGTCACAGCCTCCTTTGGGCATCCCCCTGCTCCAGCATGGGGTCCTCCAGGGGCTGCAGGCAGAGATCTGCTCCAGTGCCTGGAGCACCTTCGCCACTAATTCACCGACCTTGGTGTCTGCAAAGCTGTTTCGCTCACATATTCTCACTCCTCACTCTGGCTGCACTTGTGCAGGTTTTTTTCCACTTCCTAAATTATTTATCACAGAGGTGCTATTACCATCACCGATGTGCTCAGCCTTGGCCAGCAGCAGGTCCATCCTGGAACTGGCTATCATTTGCTCCATCAGACACAAGGAAAGCTTCTAAAAGCTTCTCACAGGAGCCACCCATTACCAAAACCTTACCATGCAAACCCAATACACAAGCCTTAGTAAACAGCCAGATACAAAAGGTAGAGTAATTTAAACTCCCTTGAAAGCTTGTTCTTTATCTAACCCATTGCACTAAAAGGCAGAGAGTAATAACTTGCATCATTAATATTACTATCTTTTTTTGACACATACAGTCCCCAGTTACGAATTAGCACACACACCTGATTTCTTACAGCTCCTCCTTCTCCATGCTATCCATACTGTGGAAAGCATAAAACCTGTGTTAGAGCCTTTACTGCTTCTGCTTAAAGGGACTGCAAGGCTCAGTAATGGCATCTCCCATAAGAAAACAAAAAAAACAAACATAAAGACCAAATGAGAAACTAAGCACGCATAGCTCAATGGGGAGAAAAGCCAAATCCTTTCTTGGAAAGGAAACAGCACAAAAGAAAACACAAAGAAAAACTGAGTAAGAGCTATTACCTGATATCTTCTGAAAGGAGGGAACAGTCACTGACTTCATAGCTGTACACAACAGAGCCACGGAACTCTAGGAATGGCAGCCCATCTTCCAAAACACTCCTCTGAAAAGCAGACTTCTGTCAAACAACATTTGGAAGAGGCTGAGTTACTGGCCACAGGAAAGCATCAGCACTACAAATGCTGCATCCGATGTAAACGCTGTGTCCCAGCGAGGCTGGCATCAGTGTTTCCCAAAACCTTGGGAAACAGAACTGTGCTCCACACCACAGGGGCAGCAGCACTGTCAATTAACAAAAGGGTGACATCCCCCTTTAGGAACATTTGGGTCCATGTCCCCATTTCTTTGCTTAGCTCCAAGCACTGAGACTGAAATCCTGCAGGTTGAGTTTTTACCTCAATTACTTTTGTTGTATTCTTCCCACCAAAGAGATTTTTTAGCTTTCAAGAACAAGGTCAGGGAAAAGAAGCATTTTAGACAGTGTCAAAAAACCCCTTAAGACTATTTTAAATGCTGTAGTGCTTGCACATCTCTCATTTGAGGCAAAAATATTAAAAATGGGCAATAACTTGAGTAATTCTTCAGGTCATTCAAATCTGGTCAGGCTAGAATCCTCAAACACATCTCCAGTATACCTGTATAAAATAGCTCAGTTCCCCCATTTCCTTGGTCCCACATTTCAGCAAGCCCACTGCACTTAACCCTGCCAGATATAGTGTGTGAGGAACTTCACAAAGCTCTAAACTCCATGGATTTAAACTACCTGAAGGATTTAAAAGGAGCACTGTCCTCCATCAACTGACGATTACTGGCTTACTTTAAGCACACAAGTAAGGTGAAATGTAACACTCCAGTTAATGATTTTCCCCCCTTTCAGAAAGGTATTTAGTAAAAGTTCAACAGGTAAAATTTAATTGAATTGCAGATTCTGATAGTTTACCTACCTGAAAAAACTTCATTTTGGTCCAAATTACGTAGTAAATTACAGTGCCAGTAATACCAAATATGGGTAAGTATGCCATAGTAACACTTAAAAACCAACATCTTGTCAATCTAAAGGGGCCACAATAGACAAAAGAGGTTTTAATATAGTTTCTGAAAGATGTTGCTTGGAAGGGGGAGATTTAGGAACAAACACAGTGCTGATTTTATGCTTGCACAATAAAACATTCCCTCCAGTTAATGAACAGCCAAAGCTTAATCAAAACCCTTCCTCCAATTGCTGACTGAAGCAGGGTTCCATGGTACACTGCTGTACCACAGCACATGGAAGTCATCTGGTTAAATGACATAGCAATATCCACACTACTATTTTTTAACTGTCGCTCTTACAGTTCTTACAGAACTGAGCCTCCTCTTGCCACTCAGTTTTCTACTTGTTAAAGCAGTTCCAGATGTTACAAGTGAAAGGTGTCGCTTCTGGTGGGAAGTTTTATACCAAAACTGCTCTTATACACAGGAAACAACCCATCCAAGGACATGTTAACATTCTTGGAACACCAGAATTTGACATAATCTTTATGATCAATTAATTCTTCCTATACCTCTGAGCTGCAGAACCTCCTGAACACTGCACACGTGCAAGTGCAGAAAGCCAGAGGGCCTTCCCATAACAAACCAGCCTACCAGCCTGCAGCTTGAGGTCGCTGCATTTTGAGCTCTCTGATTATCTATATAATCTCCCCTCCTGCCCCAGTTCTTCATGGTGTACAGCCTACAACACTGGGTGAGCAACACATCAAAAATCTCCCTATATTTGGGTGGTTTTGACACTAAAATTCAAGTCTGTCAGGAATAAATTTCTACAGAGCTAATAGCAATGGCAACATGATTTTTTAATTAAAAAAAAAAACAAACCTCTCCAAAAAAAACCTTTAGCAAGGTCATTCAACCAGTAATTGAGGAGCTAATTTTAATTATAGTTCATAGGATAAAACATCTCTAACCATTCAGAAATGTCAGAGGCAGAGGTATAACTACATGCAACTGCTCCACTGTTGTTTTATTACACAGTGTACATCAATTAATTACTTTATTAACATAACACAGGCAAACTTCAGTTTCCTCCATGCAATGACATACCTTTTTATCACTCAAAACTTCCGCTTGGCTTTGAGTAAGCATCCACTGTGGATATTTGTTCTGCAGACTAGTATTTGGCAAATCTACTTTATTCATTTTTTCCACATTTCTGTTACTTCAACATATAAATAAGAACAAAAAAGAATGGTCAATTTGTACAGAGACAAGCTGTTATTATCATCAAGCCAGAACAAGGTGATGGAAGTTCACAACCTTGAACTTAAAAGGGTTTGTGCACAAGAATAGACATCTACAGAACTGCCCACATTGAATATCAAAAGACCTTTAGGCATTATATTCTTATTCATGTCAGTAAGAAAATACGGTTAAAAAAAAAAAAACACAACAAAAAACAAACACCACAAAACACAGGGAAAACCTCTTAAAATCCTATGGGAAAAAGAACTGAGTCTGTTTCTATGGAGAGCAGTGACTTGGAACAGAAGAGTACACCTACTGCCATCTCTGGTCAACACAGCCCTCGTTACCTAGCCAAATATTGATGTCGTGGTTTAGATAACAGCATAGAAACCAGCCATCTAAAACCCCCAACCCAAACTAGGGACTATCAGACTCCCACAGATATCACCCCAAGACATTCACTGCCTACACAGGACCTCAGAGCTGCAAGCCCTCAACCAAGGTAAAGAAAACCACAGAATTTCTAGGGAAAACTACAGCCAAACAAGGCACATGCTGCTAAGATCTCTGGCACAGACTGGATGATGGCTGAAGCTGCTTAGCAATTTGCCAGCCGTTCATTCAAACCAAATGAGTTCACTGAGCAGAGACAGCTTATTCCCAGGGCATCAGGAAGCAGGGTACATTCCCTGGAAGGCAACAGAGATGATGGAGAGCACTCCATAGAGATGCTGTAAATTTAAAATAAAGAGACTTAAGTTAGGAAGAGATGCTGTTTATAACACCAGGAGATTTTCAGCCCTAATGACTTAGGCTTGCTTTGAGGGAAGCAGAGCAGAATTTCCAAGTTGTAAGCAAACGATGACTGTATTAGAGCTGTTCCAGCCTCTCCCCAGACTGCTTCTAGTGTGACTTAGAAATCCCACTGGAAATTCAAACGGGTCACAAACAAATTTCTCATCCTGCTTCCTCCCACTAGTCTCCAGGTGCTCAACACCTCAACAACAAATTCAGGGTACATATACATTGCATGTATATTCTTAGCAGTACATTCTTACTGTATGCAAGAACGTACTTTTCAGTTGCAGTTCCTCACCAAGAAGCAGGTCCAAATCATATGCAAAACATGCTGTTTCAGTTTTTCAGTACTCAAAGCCATCTTTTGATGTTTCTCATTGATTATCTACAGTAGACAGAAGGCTTTCCTTGGTTATCTATCCACTTGTGCAGTAGCATAATGAGCTACTACCTAAAACACTTTAGAAGAACATTTTAATACTAAAACAGTAACAAAAGAGCCACTAGGAAGATGCCTGAAGTAGAAACACTCTGTTCCTGGGAGCTGCAACTACTGTAAATGACAGAAACCAGCAGAGAAACTACAAAAGGTTGGACAGGGTTTGAAGCAAACCGGTCTAGTGGAAGGTGTCCCTGCCCACAGCAGTGTCGAACTGGATGATCTTAAGGTTCTTCGTGTCCCAGGCCACTCCAGGATTCTATAGACAGGACACTCTGCAGCACCTATCCCACTATCTGCCACCCCAACATGTTTGCCACAAAAACCAGGTAAAAGCCCCAGAGCGCCTTCAGCAGCAACACCACACAAGCAAGCACCTCTCACCATGGCATCACCCACCTCGCTGGTGTTACACCAAGAAATTGCACTTACAAGCCTGAGACCTGCCCTGAGCTGGCAGCAGGATCCCCCAGGACAAATGGCAGCACAAATGGAGCTGCGGGAAAGCATTCACACACGGTCAAAACACCTCATTTCCTCAGGGAAATTTCTTCTGCACCCCAAAGCCCCTCACCTAGAATCACAGAATCAACCAGGTTGGAAAAGACCTTTAAGATCATCAAGTCCAATCATTTCCCCAGCACTGCCAAGCCCACCACTAAACCATGTCACTGATGGCCTCATCTACACAGTCTGTGAACACTTCAGGGCAGCTTGTTCCAATGCCTGATCACCCTTTCGGGGAAGAAATTGTTCCTAATCTCCAATCTAAACTTCCCCTGGCACAGACTGAGGCTGTGTCCTGCCACTTGCTGCTTGGGAGAAGGGCCCAGCCACCCCCTAGCTCCATCCTTCTTTCAGGCAGTTGCAGAGTGCAATAAGGTCCCCCCTGAGCCTTCTCTTCTCCAGATTACCTCCCCCCCCCCCGGTCCGTTAGCTGCTTCCCATCACACTTGCTCTCCAGACCCTTCACGAGCTCCACTGCACTTCTTTGGACCCGCTCCAGCACCTCAACGTCTCTGGGCGCACACCCCGGGAACCCTCCCAGGGGGCGGCTTGTACTCTTGGAGGACTTCTTCCACCCGGCACCGCGGGGCAGAAAGCAGCCCAAGGGCCCGGCGGTGCTCGCAGCAGGCCGGAAACGGCGGCGGGACGCTGCCCTCCGAGCACCGACGGGCTCCATGGCGGCCCGTTCCCCTCACCGCCACCGAAACGGGATCCCCAGCCCCGCCATGCGCCGGATACCTGCGCCCCGCTCACGGAACCCCACCGCGGCGTGGCCCCGCCGCCGAACACCGCGCCACCGACGGAGCACGCATACTGCGTCACCGCGCATCGCGCTCTTAACACGTCACGGAGACGCCATGCTCCCATCCCCCCCACATCTCCCAGGGCAGCGGCGGCGGCGGCAGGTTACCCGAGGTGTCGCGCATGCGGAATGAGGCGGAGGCCGTGGGACATTGTGGGTAGCGTAGTCCCGGTGCCGAGCGGGCCACACACCCTCCGGAGAGCCCACGACTCCCCCCGCGCTGCCGCCGCCGCTGTCGTCGTCGTCCTCGGCCGGGCGGGGCTGGGGCGGGGCGGGGTGGAGCGGACGGCGGGGGTGCGGCAACCCGTGGCTCTGCGCGGCGGGGCTGCCGGAGACGGCGGCGGCTGCTGAAGGGCAACGGCGGCGATGGGCGCTGTGGGGTGAGTGACCGGGTGTGGGGCAGTGCCGGGGCATGTGTGGTGCAGGGGGCCGAGCAGCGATGGAGCAGGAGATGCTGTGCTGAGGGGCACTAAGGGGGCAGTACTGGGGCACTGGGGGCATGCGGGGGCCTGTACTGGGAGCACTTGAAGGGGTATTGGGGCACTGGGGGTAGGGGGACAGTGCTGAGGGGCACTTGGGTGGGGGAGGAGGTAAAGCTCTGGGGGGCAGTGGGGCAGGTTATGCAGTGATGTGGAGCACTGGGGAGCAGTGCTGGGGGCAGTGGGGGGCCAGCACTGGGCATCACTAGGAGGCCGAAAGTGAAGCTCTGGGGACACTGGGGCAGGAGATGCAGTGATGTGGAGCATCTGGGGAGCAGTGAGGGGGCAGGAGGGCACTACTGGGGGGCAGAGGAGTAATACGGGGGGGCAGGAGGTGAAGATCTGGAGGCACTGGGGCAGGAGATGCAGTGATGGGTGACACTGGGGAGCAGTGATGGGGTGGGGAGAGGGGGAGGAGGGCAGTACTGGAGCCACTGGGAGGCAGGGGCTGCTACTGGTGGGGGAGGGCAGGAGGTAAAACACTGGGGGCACCAGGGCAGGTTATGCAGTGATGGGGGCAGTGGGGCGCAGTGCTGGGGGTGTTGAGGGGGGAGGAGGCCAGTACTGGGGGCAGGACGTGAAGGTCTAGGGACACTACGAGGGCAATATTAGGGCTGTAGGAGTACCGGGGAGGTAGTACTGGGACAGTGCTGGGGAGGACCCCAGTGCCCTCCGCCGGTGCCCTGGGGAGGAACAGCAGAGGAGTGTGATGGAAGGGGAACACAGCAGCATGGTGGGGGTACCCTGCAGTGGGGAGTAGGAGCCCCCAGCGGATGAGTGTCACAGCCCTCCCAACGGGGACCCTCCAACCCATCCCACTGGGGCTCCTGCTCTCCACTGCAGGGCAGGGAGGGCTGCTGGATTTTGGGGACAGAGGGTGAGGGCACTAGGGCTGCTGGAAGGAAGGCTCCCTTGGCTGAGAGCCGGAGGTGGGGAGGGGAACAGCACCCGGGATCCTTTTGCTGCGATGCTGCGTGCTGTGGCAGCGGAGAGGGATGCAGGCGGCTTTGCAGGGAGAGCAGCGCTGAACAGAGACACTGCCGAGAAGCCGAGCAGGCCCCTGGTGCTGATGTTGTCATCTGTGTCTCTGTTCTGTATTATTTCCAGCTGATTAGTAAAGATGGAAAGAGGCAGAGGAGGAGGAGGAAGGAACCTGGGAGGCTCTGGCCTGCACAGGAGCATTTATTCCCAGTCCCAGCAGCAGTACCATTACCCGGCCTCCTCCCAGGGGGGCTGCATGGAGATCCAGGAGCTGGCCTCCAAGAGGGTGGACATCCAGAAGAAGCGCTTTTATCTGGATGTGAAACAGAGCTCCCGAGGCCGCTTCCTGAAGATCGCCGAGGTCTGGATAGGAAGAGGCAGGCAGGACAATATCAGGAAAAGCAAGCTGACCCTCTCCTTGTCTGTGGCTGCTGAACTGAAGGACTGCCTAGGGGACTTCATCGAGCACTATGCCCACCTGGGCCTGAAAAGCAGTCACCGGCACGAGCACAGCAACGGCAAAGAGCAGCATCCCCGGAGGCGGCAGCAGCACCCACCGCCTTCGCCTCCGATGTCCGTTTGCTCCGAAGAGCACCCTCACAGTGTCCTCAAAACGGAGTACATCGAGAGGGACAACAGGAAGTATTACCTGGACCTGAAGGAGAACCAGCGAGGGCGCTTCTTGCGGATTAGACAAACCATGAGTAGAGGACCTGGCATGATGGGTTATTTTGGGCACAGCTTGGGACAGGAGCAGACAATCGTCCTGCCAGCACAAGGGATGATTGAGTTCAGGGATGCTTTGGTCCAGCTGATAGAAGAATATGGCGAGGGGGACATAGAGGATCGCCGGGGGGGAGGTGATGAGCCTCCAGAGCTCCCCGAGGGCACCTCCTTCCGAGTGGACAACAAGCGCTTCTACTTCGACGTGGGATCCAACAGGTACGGCATTTTCCTGAAGGTAAGTGAGGTGAGGCCGCCCTACCGTAACACCATCACGGTTCCCTACAAAGCGTGGACACGGTTTGGGGAAAATTTTATCAAGTACGAAGAAGAGATGAGGAGAATTTACAACAGCCATAAAGAAAAAAGGATGGACGCCAGAGGGGACAGTGGTGAAGAGCAGGAGGGTCTCGAATAGAGTGCATTGGACTGGCTGTCTGGCAAAATAAACAAAACAAGCAGAAATTGGTAAGAGAGACTGACCTAGAGTAATTCCAAGTTGCCCCTTTTGGTTTGTTGGGTTTTTTATAAAGTCCTTTTCCGGTAGTTCTTGCTAACTCCAGTCTGTAATATTACAGGAGTCTGTTAAATTGCACCCAAATCATCTCCATGTGTCTTATGAAAGTACCAACCTCCTGAGTCCGTCTGAGTCAGCTGCTTTGAGTGTTGAAGACTATGGAAGTACACGTATCAGCATAAAACAAAATCTGGCACTCTGACCTTTAAGTAGTATAGATAAGGCTTGTGTTGCACTCTCAAAGTGATACAAAAGCAAACCAAACCCCAAACCTTATGCTGAAATGTATCAGTTTCTATGATGTTTTTTTTCCGGGACTGAATTCTGCTTGTCTTTGGTCCATAGGCTGAGCAGCGCATCTGTAGGGTTTATGATAAAAATCAACTTTGTGTGAATTCATGGTATGGGTATGAGGGGAGAGAGAGGTTTTTAAATTGGCAGCTGCTGGTTGTTGAGTTTGAACTGATAGCCTGCATGGGTAAAACCTTGATAACTGGTCAGACCTTTATTACGTGCTGGTAAAGATTTGTTATTCATTCTGTAGTTTTGTGCTGAACAAATAACCTGAATATCCTGGGATAGCGAAGCTCCACTCGAGCACTAAGACTCATGGCAATGAATAATAACCCATGTATGTGTTCTGCCCATGTTCATGCCCATGCTGGTGATTTCTTGGTTTTCATTTTCAATGCATTTGTCCAAAATGTGAAAAGGTATTTTCATAGTAGCTGTGTTATGGGTTCCAACAGGCAGGTGGGGATGGAGCCAGGGTTTGGGGGAGGAGGGACCACCACGACTGAGGCTTTCTCCCAGATAAGAGATTAATGCAGTCATGATGTTACCTGGTTTTCTCCTCCTGCAGCAAGAAAGACCTTGGGGCGGGTTTGGTGCACCATTGGGCTTGTATAAAAAGGCATCTCTCTCACATTTACTGGTGGCCCTTCAGAAGTGGTGGTTTACGCCCAGTTGGTTTTTTTGTCATGTTAATTTTACAGGTGGTGGTGTTGTTAGGAGATGATATCTGTGCCCTGCCATCACCCCCTTCCCACCTGCTCAGAGCTTATGGAGCAATTCAATTCCCAGTGGCCCACCATCAGTGGTTTCAGTGTCATCCCACTGAAGTCTCTGGAGGGAAGATGTGTACAATTCCTTGTTTAGAAGATTGATGAAAGGTTTTGAAAGCTCCTTATCACTGCTTAAAACATGAATACTCAACGTAAGGGGCTTTTCTAGCCTTTGGGTGACCAGCTCCTTCCCCTTTGAAACCAGCGGAAATTTGATGGAGCTCCAGGTACTTCCAATAACATGTTGCCCACCTTTAAGATTCTTTTTAAGGAGGCATGAACGTGTCTGATCAGATATTTATCATAATTTGAATTGTTTTTTAACAGAATGGCCCAATGTTCATGTGGACCAGCTGTTTTCCCATGCAGCCATGACATGGTTTTATTTATTTTTATTTAATCTCTTGAGAAATGTATTTATCCCCAGCCAGACTGTTGATCACTTTTAGTCTGGACCCACCTGCACGCTGCATGGCCACACTCAATCCAAATGCTATTAGCTGCTAATGTTATTAACCATAACGAGAAAAATTGGGGATGCAGAGTTGGGAACCAAGAGGATAATCTGGACTTTAGTTTGGAAACTATAAACTAGTTGATCTGTTTTAACTTAAAAAAAAATAATTAAAAAAAAAAAGATAAAAAAAAAAAGGAAAAAAAATCAAAGCTTGCACCAAAGTCACCGAAGAACCTTTAGGAAAGTGTTACAGTTGTGACAAGAAGTAATTTAATTTCACTGTTTTAGGTGATTCTCCCTTTAGGTAAAACCACACATAGCAGATACAGCAAGCAAGCTTTTGTCTTCATGTCAAGAATTCCCATCCACTTCAGGTTCATTTTCAACTCTGGGAGAGATGTTCTCGCCCCACTGCTTCAACTGGTATCGGAGCATGACGGATCAGCTGGGAGTTGCAGGGGGTGCTGGTTCATCATTGCTCTTAGGGCTTTGGTCCCAATGGTTTTAACAGGTCAATTGCAAACAAAATCAACATAAAAATAATTCTACATCCCATTATTGGTGTGAAACCAGAATTTAGTGAATGAGTCCTTGTTGCGCACATTAGCGTATCGCTAACTGCTGCTGCCTGTCACAGTGCCTGGAGTTAAAAATTAACTTATATTCCAACAAACTGGAGCTATGAATGTACAAACCTTTTACGTCCTCCTTTCCTCTCCTACCTGGCATTCTTCCCCTACGAGGTTAACATCTCCCCATCCCAGCCTACTTTTCCCTCAAGGGATCATAGAAGCTCCTGCGTTGGAATTAGAGTGACCATGTTGTGTCATAAGCGATCATGCCTTCCCTGTATTCCTTTAGCATCAGTGAGGAAAATACCTCGGATATATTGGGCAAAGTGATTGGAAAGGGATATTTTCTTCACCATTTTAAAAGAAAAAAAAAGATGTGACATGGTTTTGCTTATCTGCCCATTTTTTTTAAAACTCGTTTATCTTTTGTTAATGGATTGGTCTTCCAATAGCATTTGTTAGATATCACCCAGGAATTCAGTGTCTGCTGGCTACTGGGTCAGGCTCGGTTTTGGCACGCAGGTATCCCACAGGATCCACTAATAAATTTACTCTCCTGGCATAGGATGCACCTTAGTATCCAAAACTGGATCAGGATTTTCATGTTTGTAGCCAGTTCCCCATGGGTAAACCACTAGCCATGGGTGTCCGCCACAATGGAAAGCACTGATGTTTGCAGGTAATACAGGCTCACTGGAAATGTGGCAACGCAAGACTTTAATGGTGAGATTCATGAATGGGTCCCTTGTTATTTTTGGCAGCGTGTCTTCAGCTTAGGAGAGCAGTGATCATGTGGACTGCTCATGCACAGGAATGCTCATGAATCGGCTCAGGAATGCCGAATCCCTAATGCATTTTAAATGTTCGTTCCTGACGCCCTGAAACTGCCGTGTCCCTTAAACTTGAGAAAACACAAAGCTTATTTGCACTAGAAAGAACGGCCAAAAACAATCCTTAGGAGGACAGGGTGAAGAGCACCAGTCTGAACCTCTTTTTTTTTTTTTTCTCATGAGAGAATTTCCTGTTCAAGCCCTCACCTCTGTTTCAAAATTGTATGGTCCCAGCAGAAAGTCTATCAGTTCAATAATGAAATTGTAAAGCACTTTATATTGTGTAAATAATAGTAGGAGCACATTTCTGCTCCTGCTCAGGTAAGGGGATGCTTCAGTAATGTAATCTGAGGCTGGAAGAAGCCGTCTCCTGCATGCGTCTGTTAGAGACCTTTGTACTTGCTTGGTCCAGCTCCACTCATATGTTAGAGGAGGACAGGCGCTATATTGAGAGTGGGTTGACTTAGTGTTTGCAGAGCTGCTGAGCATCCTCAGCTCTTCGCCCTTTCTGCAAATCAGGCTGCCGATGTTGCTGTCGAGGCTTAAAACCAAGGTTTTCCACCTATAGTCTCGACAAAACTGAGTCTAGCTTGGTTTTTCCCACTGCTGGCACAGAAGATGGGGCAGTCCCTAAAAGCTTATACTGGGTGGAAATGGCTGCCTCGCATGCAGTTGTGTTGAGTTTTGCCCATCAAGCTGGCTTTCTAGATCAAGTAGAGGCAGGGGTGTGCTAGTGAAGGGTTGGGAAACGTTTTTGCATTGGTGCAGTGAGGGTGACCCACTGGGTGCTCCAAAGGAGATGGCAGAACCCACCGTGGTAGGTTCATCATGTCAAGTCTGGATGACGGACTCTACCCAGCAAGAAGCTGCAGCAGTTATTGGTAATCTACTTGTTGTCGTTAAGTGTTTCTTATCTGTATCCAATATATACAAATTCATGTCCACATATAGACATTAATATATTTATGTGAGTATGTTGTAGCCTGTAATTGCTTGTAGCAAAATAATCTTATTTATCTGAAGTACACAGTCTAAACAGAGGGTAGTTTTCTCCTACTACTGGTCTGGATAAACACATGATTTCACAGAGAGCTGGTTGAACATTGTTTCATAGAATCACAGATTGGTTTGGGTTGACAGCGACCTTAAAGCTCATCCAGTTCCAACCCCCTGCCATAAGCAGGGACACCTTCCACTAGACCAGGTTGCTCAAAGCCCTGTGTTTGCGTGGACCTTGTAAGTTTTACGTGCCTTGTAAGCAGTCTCATACCTTAGGTTTTTGGCAAGGCTGCAAGGGAAAAAGTGGCCAAAAAACGTCAAAGCTCTTCCTTGAAGGAATCATGGAGGTGGGATGGGAGCTGTAAGGAAGAGGCAGCTGCAGGTACTGCCAGTAATATCGTGTTTCAGTGCCATTTTACAATCCCTAGCTCTGCGAATCTGTGCTACCACTTCCATAAAATCCCAGGTAGAAGGATTAAAAACCTGTCCTTTATTAAAAAAAAATAAAAAATGCAAGCAATTACCAAAATCAATGTCAGCACACCTTTTTCTGCTAAAGATGTCATTGTCTAATGCTTTTTTTCTCCTATGGCCTGTTGAAGTGACCTAAGCTCACACTGAAGGGAGTTGGTAGTGGTTAGGAAGCCTACTCTTCACTTGACTTGCAGCCCTTTTGTCTGAGGATAGTAATTTTTATAGCAGAAAGAGGTTTATTATTATGTATTTTTATTGGGCAGATTTTTGCAGCAGGTGGAAAATTAATTAAGAAGTTATTTTAGTTCTATGGCATTCCTACTTTTGCTGTACATACAGTATATATACACAATTCGTCAGATAATTATTAAAGAGAAGTCTACCTTCTATTTAATTTTCTATCTTCCTTCCTCCAAAATTAAAACACCCTTTATTTTGTAATTACTTAATGTGTTGTGATGTCTAAAATTCACCTTTCCCCTCCTACCTCTCTATTCTCTTCAGGTAAAGGCTGTATTCAAAATAGTTTATCCAAGTAAGAGTGGAAATAAAGGCTACACTGGAAGCTATGGAAGTAGGTTATGACATGACCAAGTAAGGCTGTCACCCCACAGCCTTTGCCAAAACAAATCATCCCTCCAGTGTGGATTGTTCCAGCATTGGGAAGCAAAGCTTGCCCGGTGTATCCAAGATTTCCTGGGAGAGTGTGGTATGCCTCCATAGATGCCCAGCAGGCTGAGACTACAGACCTTGACCCCTTGTTGGGGCATGTTGGTGGTGGGTTGAGGTGGCAGCAGGTTTAAGCTATTGTACCTGGTAGAATGGTACTGTATTAGTAATACGGTACTGTATGCACAAGTTGTTTCCAAGCTGTAGGGCATGCTCTCCATTGGGCTCTCTGTTCTCCAAGATCTGGAGGAGCTTTCATGGGCTGACATCAATTTTTCTTCCTAATATCTTCTCGCACCTGTGTTCACTTCTCCACCTGTACTTCCACAAAGGCAACACTGTATTAAAGTGTTGAGGTAAAATAAAATATGAGGAACTCCTGATTACGTGGATTAAGAATTGGTTTTCCAGAGATGTCAAAGCATAAACTGAGGTTTTAGAATCTGGGAGTCATTTTGGCATTTCTGTGATGGATGTAATTAGATCATTCCTTCTATATGCTGAGGCATCATGTGAAATGTGAACCCTCAGCCTCCGGGCTCTGTTATGTACGTTAACATCTAGAAAAGTGTATGCTGGATTTACTTTCTGGCCTTTCCATGCTTATTGGACATCGTTTGTGCTTGTACTATATCCAGAGGTACTGGTCTAGCCTCGAGGTGCCTGGCTGCCACCCCAGTAAAACCATCATTAACAATTTGCTAATCCATCTTCCTAATTGATAGGCTACCTCGAAATGCTTGAGTTGGCAAACTGAAATTGCTACCTTTGTAGAGAGTAGCCACCGTAAATAGAAGACGGACATATTCCACCTTTTGTGCATTTCCCATCATCCGATGTACTGGTATTCAACAGGGCAGGATATTGGAGTTCCTGGTTAGAGATGGGTCAGCTGGTCAGTTGGGTTTCTTAAACATGGTAGAGGAAATCCATCCTGCAGGCAGAAGAAGTTTACACTTCCCTGTTTTTTCATCTTGATCATTCACCATGCAGAGATTAATTGGAAGAAAAGATGGCCCTTCATGTGGGTTGCTAGAAGACAGCTAAGGCTTTTTCCCGAGCCCCACTAAGCACAATACTGCTCTAACATCTGTGAATTTATATGTGACACACAAATTAGCAGAGAGAGGAGAGAGGGGGGAATATTAAATGTATATATATATATATATGCCTATACCTATTAAAATAGTATTTTTTTCCTGTTTCCAATAGATCCTTCCTCTTGAAATGCTAAAATGGTAGCTGTCATCTTTTCTCTTTTCTGTATCAGAGACGTTCAATATGAGCACTCACAAGCAATATCAACTTACTATACTACTAACATTAAATCTTTACACTACAAATTGCATGCAATAGAATATGCATCTCAAAACAGCAGAGAGTTATGTGGGATTAAAGACACAGGTTAACCTCAGAGCTCTTGCAAGTATTCTCATCTGGTCATTGCTCTGAGCGTGTGTTGTTGGCACGACATGGGGGGAGAGGGGGAGTAAGACCACACTTCCCACGAAGGCACAGGAACAAAAAGGCAGGAGGGGGTGGAAGGAAGCAAGGACAAGATTTGTGTTCCAGGCAATCGCAGAGCATGATGATTGTTTTATTCAGAGGAATAGGTGGCACCATCAGTGCTGGAGTCCTGCAGAACTAGGGAAGGAGGTAGATCCTGGGAGGGGAGCATACAAGTGTTGGTGGCCTGTAATAATTGCTCCTGCCACCCCAGTTTATGGATGCTTGTCTGCTTTTCATTGGAGCCTTGCATTCACTGCTCTGCCTGCCTCCTGCTCCAGGAACTAGCTGGGCTGTGTGATGGAGCGTTATGTTATCAATGGGGCAACTGTTCTTTTCCATTGCAGAAGTAAGGTGTTGCTGAAGGCTGGAGGGGAAAGAAAGCAGCTTTCAAGAAACACACTCTGAGCCTGTACTTGCAAAGGGGTTTGTGTTGTTTTTAGCAAGACTTTGCAGATGACCACCACTTGTATCACCTGTGCACCAGCCTTGGTACCCTGAGGCC